TTGAAATTTTTTAGAGATTCTTCCATTTACAAGGAACAAGGAAATTTTTTTAAAGCGATATCTTGGATATGTTATCATTTGACATATCGTTGAAAAAAGTCGGTTTAATGAGAGTTGAAAACCAGTGTCCACTCTAACTATTTAATTGCTCGTTACTCAAAAAATTCATAAGACAACTGCAATGCTTATGTATTTATTGACCCATTTAAATTTTTTTCAGTAAAATGTTAAAAAATATCTATTTTGAAGTTTGAAAAAATTTAGAATACAAAACATCGTATTTTAACTTTTTTTTTTTTTATAAAAAGATAAATAATAAAATTATCATATTAACATAGCCTAATAATGTCAATATCGTTAATAAAAAAAAATTACAACAAAATGATTATTAGATCAAAATATATACATATAATGTAGGTATGTTCAATGTTTTAATGTAAGTAAGAATATATGAGAGATGAATGAGTAGAATTATAAAAAAAAATTTATTAAGAAATATTAATTATTGTTTTTATGAGTACTACGAATTTATTTGAATTCCTTAGTGAGTTTTATATTTATCATCCAAAATATTGTGTTATGCATATGAATAAATCGTTCTCTAAACAATACTTATTTATGTAAGATGATGTCAAGAGGTTTTCTATTTTTGGTCATAAAAAGTATCGTTTATAACAAACTCATTTATACTTTATAATAAAGGAGTTCGTTTCCCTATAAAATTTGCCAAGCTTATCTGACACTTAGAATTTTTCGCAAAAAATATTAACATAACAGAGGGATCTATTTATTATACACAACTTAATTGTTCGTAATATAGTAAAAATGTTTACTTAGTTTTAGGAAGCACTTCTGCTTTCACAAGAATTATAATTTTTACATAATTAAACGTATTATGTATTATTATGTATTATTTTTATTAAAACATTTTATTTCAAGATTTAGTAATAAAATAAAAGTTATTTATTAGTTAAAGCTAATTTTATTTTTAAATATTAATTAAAAATAATGAAATTAACTATATTTATGTAATAAAAATTGATCACTTGTGGCTAATTAATTAAGTAAAATTAAAACTATATTAAAAATATTATTAATTTAAAAACTAAAAAATATTAATAATATTAAACTCAAAAGTCACAAAAAATTACTGAAAAGTCGGGGATACGTATTCCGGAAACAATGTTACCATTATCAACGTTAAACACATACTGACACCTTGACTAGAAAAAACTCCTAGTGACCTTATCACCTAGTGACGTTATCACTAAGTAATATTATCACATATTTCCAGTTTACACAAGTTTACTAATGAATTTTTCAGATCCCATTAATTAAATCGTTTTTATTTTTAAATATTTCTATTGCCTCCCTAATATTAAGCTCTTTTAATTATTTATGTTTTTAATTAGTTTTAGATTTTAATGGAGTGATTATGTGTCAATAAATGTTCAGACACTGGAGATTTCTCAACATCTTGATTTTTAATATTTCTTAAGTGCTCCTTAAACCTGACCACTATATTTCTTTTTGTTTACTTAATTAACTATAATTGCCAATAAACAAATTTTACAATATAAAACATAGTTATGTATTTAATCGTCTATGATTAGCTAAATATTTATAATATTAATATGTTATCATCATCAATGCTAAATACATACTGATATCCCTCCAAAAAAATATACGTATGTATGCTTAATGACGTCATCTGATCGATTTTGTCGCCATTTTACACAATTTTTAATAATGAATATTGCAGCGAGACTTATTCATAATTAATTAAAATATTTGGTTTTTACATCATTTTTTTTAAGTATACTTGGGTTTAATATAAGTGAAAAAATTTAAGATAATTAATTAATTAAGTATTTTTTTTATATATAATTTCAACTAGTCTTAAACAACTTCGTTTAAGTATTTTTTGAATTGTAGTTAATGAAATAGAATAAAATATAGTAGAAATGTCGTATATAACAATTTACTTACCTCATCTACCTCCTAATGCTCTTATTCATGTTTGATATTACAATAACTAGTCTACCACAAAATTTTCCAACAATATTTTGACCTATTGAAAAAAATAAAAGGTATTGATTTACAAGGTAAGATAACATTATAATGGTATATTAAAAAATAAGAACACTAGTTAAAAAGAAAGCAACATAATTTAGTATTTCATTTCGTTAATAATTTCTCTATTGATAAATTTACGTTTTTTACAAATATAACTCTTTTAAAAGTGTACTTTAATATATTAATATTATGCTAGCACTTTTAATGTCGACGTTAAAAAGAGACAAAGGCGCATATTTAGTCAAAATATTGGGTGTGCAAAAACTGTTATAAGTTACTAATAATAGTTCAATAAACTTTAACACTCACCATGAATAAAGTGTAAAATCACAAAAAAAAATTGGTGATGCGTCATTATCTATGCGTATATGAATGCAGACCAGAAGTACTTTATATAGTAAAAGATACAATTAAACATATTTTATAAATTAGGAATGCATATAATTATTTTCACGCCAAATAAACTACACTTATACTTAGGTATAGGTTAGAATACATTGCTATGTATTCTAAAGTGATTTATTGAATACTAAAATAGTACAATAAACAAAACTCTTGGCTTGAAAAACATTTTAATTTTAATTTACCCTATGTACAGTATATATTATATACTTGTGCAATTAAATTTTATGTTACACTGAAACCTGCAATGGACTAAGACAAAAGTGTTTTTAAATCATTAAAAAAAAATTAATTGATATTATTATTGTTACGCAAATTTCTTTTATTATAAGGTCAGTTACTCCTTTTACTATAATTTATATCTCATAGTTAATACTAAGTGTAAATCAATGATAAAAGAACATCAATCAGTATTATTCTTTAAATGTACATATTTAAATATACATTTTGCAGTGTACTTTACATTTTTAGTACTAGTGTTTAAATTTCTTAAATACTAATTGTTTACCGTAAAAAAATGATTCAGTTCTATGTAAAGACGTAAAAAAAATAAAATATAATACAAGCATAATATAATTAAAGTTAAAATTTGTGAGAATTACTATTTCTAAATATATACATATTTTTATTAAAGATACGTTTTTAAATTATGTACTTTATGGTAAAATACGCTAGTGTATTTTTATGTATGTACATGAAAATTCTCAACTCTTTCTAGTCTGATTCTCATAATTAATACTTTAAAATAACCCAATTTTAATCTAGTCGATCTTATCAGCAAAGAAAATTTTAGCTTTGATATGAAATCGGATGTAAAAAAAATATTATTAATAGTGATGTTATTTACTATCAGATATTATTTACACTTGTTTTAACTATGACTATGTTACGTTTTTATTTAAATTACCTTACCTTTATTATTATTTATTTATATAAATTTACATACTTAAAATCCAAATACTAATAATAATGAACTTTTATTTTTATTCAACTTGTAATTTTATTTTTATATAATGAACATTAAATAATAATTAACTTAATGTAGAATAACAAATACTAAAATATTAATAAAGTAAAAAAATAGTGTATCTTTCTAATGGAAATTTCTTGTATAAAACCAAAATTAGGATTATGATATGATATTGATGTTTAAAATCTATACAATAAAAACAAATATTTATTGATTCCAAAAGTCCTCAAAACAAATAATAATTTAAAATCTAAAATTAAAATAAACCAATGTGTGATATTTTATTTTTTTAAGATGACCCATAAATTGGTCATCTATTTTTATTTTTTCACTCAATAACAATAATGCAAATAAAATTATCACTCTTTGTCCTTTTTTAAAAGTAATTAAATAATATATAAAATGAATTTATTTAAAAAAATTAAACATAAAAATATTAGACTCATATACTTTTAAACTGTTATATTTTTATCTTAAAAAAAAATAAAAAATGAAAAAATATTTAAAAATTCTCAATGCAATTTAATAATTTTGAAAGAAAATTAATTTTGATCAGTTTTATTTAAAAGTCAGCTTATTTCTAACATTTCGAATATTTCATCAACTTAATAATATCAACTTCAATTACCAACATGCACTTTTATATTTCACAATATATTGGATGAAAATGTCACGTTTGAGATCTATTTTTTTTTTTGCAATAAAAAAAAATAACTTTCCCAAAACAAATATTGACGTTTTGTGCGTGAATAACTTTGGTTACCGGTTGAAAAAATATCATCAGTCATATCAAATCGACATATTTTTCAACTACTTTTTTATTTGATTTTATTTTTACACAATTTTATTACAAATAGTGATTTAATATCTTTATTGCAAATTTATAACACAAAATCAACCAAAAAATATAGACCTAAAGAAAGTAATTATTTTCATGTTTAGAGCAATATATTTTGGTAAAAAATTCGGTAGTGAAATTGTATAGAACAAACAGCTTAATAAACTTAAATATTTTACTAAACAATCTAACTACTTTGGTGACTCAATGATAAATTTTTAATATTGGACAAATACAGTATATTAAGAACACTTATAATAATTCATAATAATGATATTTAATGAATTTTATAAACATAATTTTCGTTATACTTTCAAACTACCGACTGAAATTCTTGCTGTTAAGGGTAACAACAATGTTGCTGTATACAATAGAAATTATGAAAATTTTAAACCGGCGCTATGTATAGGCATATTTGCTACATCAGTGTATATCCCAAATACGTTTGCCTACACATGCATCGATAAAAAATTATCCAACTAATGAATATTGAAAATTAGAAATATTTATGTAAATTATAGAACATAAAATTAATCATTAAAATTTTAGAAATAAATGTTTCTAATTTTATAGTTATTCTCAGTTACAAAACTTGCTATATTTATATTAAATATAGCAAGTTTATTTATTATTAAGTAATTTTATTAAAATATAATTGCTTATACTAAATAAGGTCGAAATTTCAAATTAAGTTTTTCTTGACATTTTTTGCAGTAATGACAAGCTTTATTCCATCATCCATAACAACAGACATCACTGGCCCATCATTTTTACTAGAACCTCCAGGGAAGTTTGAATTTTCCAACACAACTGGCGCGTGGATTGACTGCACTGCGGCAGGACATCCAGCTCCACACGTCCGATGGTTAACAGCGGATGGGAACCCGTTGACAGATATTCCAAGTTTAAGACAAGACTTATCAAACGGCACACTTGCTTTATTGCCGTTTTCACCTGCAATGTACAGACAAGACGTTCATAACACCGTATACCGTTGTTTAGCAACAAATGAAGTCGGTGCTATTGTCAGTAGAGATATTCACGTTAGAGCGGGTAAATAAATGTAGAATTTTAAAGTATTAAAATTTAGAAATTTATGCATATTACATATATTAATAATAAGTTATTTTATTTTAATTTCTGACTATATATTTCGAAGAGCTTAAATTATCATTTTGAAAAATACATAGGCCTTTTTGCAAATGAATACGTAATGATTTTTAATTTTATAATCAAGTTATTAACAGTTTTGAAAATAAAAGGGATATTTTTAGATGGATTTCATCAAATAATAAATACATAGATATAAATATCGTCACTATTGTGTTTTTATGCTTATCTTTAAGTTGAAACTATGAATTATAGTGAATGTAACCATAATTTTTTTTCAAGAGAGATTTTTTTTTTTGAAAAATTACCTAAGATAACCTTGATAAACCAAAAAAATATAGGTCAAAAATGTATAATTCAAATTACTTCCATTTTGAAAGTTGAATATTCTCTAATTACATCATTGGTTGCACATTGACTAAGAAAACTTTAATAATTAAATTAACCAAATTACACTTGTATAATACACCAAAGCTACAACATCAATAATATAAACTAGAATAGAACTAATAAAAAATATATAATTAAGTTTAATCTCTTCTAAACTACAATTGTATCTTAATTTTAACTGAATGTAGTTTTTTATGCAAAGTTAATAAATAGAAAATTAAACTTAAATTTTTAAATTAAATAAATTCATATGGCTTAATTTTATTTGACTCGTTTATTACATGTGGAACAAACTAGTTCTACTGACAGTAGCTGTTGGACTTTATTTTAGAAAAAAATATTTCATGAGAAAAAATTTTAGTATTTTGTGATAGTAAGCAACATTATTACCGAGGAAATAATTTAAAAGTACTAAGGTGCTATTATGTGTTATTTCTAAAAGAAAATTAATTTGATTTAAATTAATTAATTGACATAAAATAATCTGTAAATTTTATAATTTTCGTTAACGAAAACATTTTAAATTATTTTTTGTATAATGATTGTCTTTTTTTATCAATTAGATAAATTAATACATATTTTATATTTTTTTCTTTGTAGGTTTATGACCCTATCATGTAAAAAATCAGTGATAAAATGGTGTAGTTTCAATATTTCAAGACATTTGGATTATATTTCAAATAATAATCTTATAAATTACATAATACAATGATAAAATTTATTATGAACTGTGCAGACTGAGGTTTTGTCTAATTCTCAGATTGAATTTCTTTGGTATTTCTCAAATTGAATATAATACTTTACTTTATTTAATATACAAATACGACAAACGTACCTATTTATAAATTAAATTAAAAATTAATTAATTAATTTTGAGTTTATTTTCAATAGCCTTTAATTTTCTATATATTAATACGTGCCGATGAGTGCAATATTTTTCTTCGGCTTTTATTCAACGTTTGATTGGAATTAAATAACACTCTCAGCGCATTATTTTATTAATTAGATATTTGATTTAGTTGCCTACATATCATTGTTTACTCAAGTAATAATGTAGTACACAATACAAATGAAACAAATTAAAAAACTTATATTAAGCATAACTATCTAATACTTAACCATATTAATTAAACTGAAATAAAAAAATACTATTTTTTTTTTATAGTTGTTGCTCAAGATTATAATTTAGAAGTACGGGTAGTAAATGGTGGATCAGCCAAAGGATGTACAGCAGTTTTGGAATGTATAGCTCCAACGTTCATGAAAGACTTGGTCAAAGTCGTGTCGTGGTTACAAGAACCTGGCTTTTACATTTATCCGTCGTTACAAGGAGGTTAAAAGAATCTCAATCGAAATAATTAATAATTATATGAAAACATACATTGCACTTACTTAATAAGCTTTACTTGTGTCATAAAAATGTCTAATATTTCTAATGCTCTACTAGAAGTTTAAAACCACACAGGTTTATTAAACGAGATGAGAGTCTAACAATTATAAACAAGTGATAGCAAATAAACGTAAATGTTTAAAAATTCCATCCAATAAACAATAGATTGCAAAAAATATTAAATCATATTAAATATGTATATATATACGATGTCCCGCGATGTTTTGACTAATTCACATAAAAAAGTACACGAGTGTACACCAACCAATCTCGTGGGACATTCTGTGTATGTATATATTTTTGTTCAATAATGATGTACTCATCTAATTCATGTCAAGTTTAAAACTTCTAAAAATTAAAAAATTAAATGATTATAAGGAAAAAATTATTTTTATACTTTTTTATAGATGGAAAATACCACGCAATGCACACAGGGGAACTTCTTGTGCACAATTTGGAATTTAGTGATCAATTTTCATCGTATACATGTCAAATGGTACACATGCTTACGAGGAAATTAACTACTAGTACACCAGCTAACATAGCCGTACATGGTGAGTATTTAGTAAAAGAGTCAACGCAAATGGAATATGTCATGGTCTGGTAAGTAATTCTTACGGGGGTAGTAAATTAAGGATGAAAAAAAGGATATAAACTTGATGAGAATCCATCTGACGGCTAAACGTAAACCTTCGGTTACTGTAATTATTATTACTACGTGACCCGAAAACCAAAATAATAACATTGTAACCCTTTCCTGAAAATTTGTGAAACCCGTCACTAGTAACCATGGAGATCTCTAGATTATACGGTTGGATAGGCACACAAAAGCGCTAGGCGTCCCGACACCGACTAACGTCACCACCTCTGTGGTTGATAATGATAAAAATGAATTTTTAGATACGTCTTACTTCTAAAAAATCTCAATCGTATTAACACGACTTTTTTATGCCAACCAAGTATTTGCAAAATCTTCAAAGTACTAACGTATTATTTTAATTTACAGAAGCTGCTGGTAACGAAATAGTTGAGATAGTATCACCCAAAAATTCTATTAGGGTAGCTCAAGGCGAAGAAGCTGTGCTGACTTGTATCACCATCGGCTGCCCTCATCCTCACTTTAAATGGTATCGAATATCAGATACATTAGAACCAGAACTTTTAGAAACCGGTTTGGGCCTTAGAGTACTCGGCCAAGTACTAGCGATTGAAGCGGTTAGGTCAGAAGATGCAGGAAATTATCGCTGTGTGGCTTCAAACGAAGCTGGGGAAACTAAAGCAGATACAGGATTGGACGTAAAAGTACCTCTTAGGACTCAAGTGAGTAACTTGATGCTACCGTGGTTAAATTAAATAAGTTATTAAAACTATAAATAAGTTAAATTATTACTATTTTGGTTAATAATACTAATATTTTCAATCATATAAAATTATTTACTTGTTATTAAAAAGAAAAAGTTGTTTAAATAGTTGATGTAGTTAATTCGTTGCGTTTAAACGCATACGTACACAAATATACTTTTATATAGGACTATACATTTATATAAATTTACATTATGTTAAATATTTTAATAATATCACGTCCTTAACATAATAATAAAATAATTAAATGCAAATAAATCTCAAGTTATCCAAAAAATGAGTCCATAAACTTATTAACTATTACTTCTAAATGACGTTACATATTATTCAATATTGATATTTCAACCATCTAATTCATAGTGAGTGATCTAACCAGAATTTTTTAAATGGAGAAGAGTCTATTAAAAAAAAAAATAGTGACTTTTTTTTAATATTTTTTACATAAAATTTAGATTTATTTAGATATTATAGGAGAGCTTAACTATTATACATTCTGGATACGTCACTATTCATAGTTATACTAACAATCATAACTTTTATAGTTAAAATCAGCATTTGAACACTATTAGAAGAATGATATTGATACGACTACTAAACCATCAAGGGTGTATTTCTAGGTTATAAGGCATAAACTTCTTCCCAAACTTATGAGGCTTCTAAATATTTGACCAAAAATGTAACTTTTAGAAGAATTTACAAAAAGTTGTAAAATTATTGAAAATTTTCTGATTCTCTCGAAAATATTTCTTATTACGTGCCAATAAACCAATTTTTTTTCTAAAAGTGTAATTTCAATTGTATTTTTAGTAAAAATTAGGTACTTCCTAGTATAATTTGATTTAAAATAAAAGCTGTGGATTTTACAATATTTAAATAATCAAAACTAATGATAATTGAATAGCTACGAAATTTTTTTAAATAAAAGATTTAAATATCAAAGTAAAATAAAAATGTCACCTAGTTATGAGTTACTTAATTGCAAATATTTATACAATTATTCAGAAGAAAATCCCTTAAAAAAAAAATAATAATACTTAAATTTTGGTTCGATGTTAAAGAGTAATAAAATCCTAGTTACACAACTGGTTACAATTAAGTAAAGGAAATAATCATTTGAATCAACGATTCGATTGATCTCAATTACTGAAGTTATTTTATTCATTTATGCAGACAAAATAAGGAATTTATCCATTGATCGTGACGATGATTTAAGGGAAAAGAATGAAGAGTGTACAAAAGCAATTTAGAGGGGTACGAGGTGTCAGCAAATATAAACAAGACCAACAATATTAGGTCCCTTTTACGGTCATTTAACTTCCGGCCGGTAAGTGGGGAATGTGTTAAACTGACATCCGAAGTTAATTACGTTTGAAATTCGGACGATCCTTTAGGTCGAAACAAGGAGATCGGCCGCTCATGGTCACGCCACTAGGTAACCATAGTTACTAGCTTTTTGTATTTCAGTTATTCGAATGGAAATATTATCCACAAGCGAGTGTGGCAATAATTCCGAATCTGTTAGAATACATTAAACGCCTGTATACGGTCATTGCGGCATTATATAGTGATAATAATAGAAGTGAATGGTTCAAAGGATTTACCGAGTAATACAGTTGAATGCTTCACCTTCGCTGTTCTCAATGTTCAGCAGTATTAAAATTTTACTATACTTCATCCCTTTCAAGTTATCTTTATAGGACATTTGAGAGAATGAGTAATAACTAGAGCACTTCAGTGGTCACCTTTGAACTCATTTGCTTGTTTATATTTATCTTTACCTCACTGTAATTCGCTGTAATTTAAATACTGAACTTTATTATTATTACGTGTATTATTATATTTAAAGAAATAATAATAATAAACAATACCATTTACTTATAAAACTTAATTATTACAATTAACTATAGAATTGTCGTTTCTTCTATAAAATACCTCTGTCTCTATAATTTGAAGTTAGGACAAATTTTAATGTAGCCTTCTTTTTAATTTAAAAATAAATATAAAATACTTTCCTTAGAAGAGGTTAGATTTTCACATAAAATACCATTACAATAAATTGTTAATTATTATAATAATCCTACTACATAATGATGGCAAAAAATGTTATAGGATTATTTTTGAAAAGTATTTGATAATATATTCTTTATTATTAATTTCTGAGTTACTATTAAATCATTTAAAATATTCTTAAACATTATATCTATTGAAATTATATTTTCTATTCTAAAATATATTTTAGAGGAATAATTTGACAAAAGCCGAATTTTGGACCCAGATGTGTAATTTTTTTTTTCTGTTAACTTTTTGTTACAGTCTAAAAACTTTTTAGAAACTCACTTTTAAAAAATAATCACTTTAAGCTATTTAAAAACTAAACTATTAGATTTTTAAACTTAAAGAACAAAATTAAAACCTTTCAAAAAAAATGTATTTAACATCTTAATTTTTATTTTTATATTAGCTAGAATGCTGAATCATTTAATAAATAATATGTATTAATCAATTAATACACCTAAATAAATACTCTATAATATTAACCAAAATTAATTGTTAGATTGATTTTAAGTCTATCATTTATTTTACAAAAACTTAATTTAAACAGCTTAGGTTATAGAACTACTAATTATACTCTATCGCTAGTGACAAAACATATTCTATTATTACGAACAATATTTTTATTTCAAAAAAAGATTTATTCTATAAAATTATTAAAATAAAATTTTTTTTTTTATAAAACTTATATTTTTATTTGTATCTTTTATTTAAAAAGGCTAATATCTACAATAATACTAATAGAAAATTCTACTTTCAAATAATTACTGTAGAAAAACTAGTATGTTGGTAATGTCATCTTAGTCAAAATATTAAAATATTCTCATTCTACTATAGAAAACTTAAATCATGGTTCTAACATACTTAGGAATTCTATATTAATTATTTGAAAAAAAAAATGTTTTACATTCTTGTAGATAGGTCCTTTTTTATCCAAAGTACAAATTTATTTATAACTTATGAAATTCCAACTATATTTTTGTACACTGATTAGAAGTATTAATTCTGATTTAGTTTACTTAATTAAAAAAAAATTATTACTTCTTAAGGGTTAACGATAAATAAAATAGAAACAGCCACATTTATTTTTAACTGTCATTTTACGAATTCAAAATTAGTGGATTTGTTATGATTTAAACATGTCCTACGATTTAAGTTTGCTAAAACCGTACAAATTACCAATCCAACCAACACTTTCAAGTTTAATTAAAATGTTATTATATATCTCGACGTTTAATGACTGCTGATGGTGATTATTGTATTTATGTTATTTCTACTTGGACTAATATCGATCTTTTAGGTTTTTCTCGTTTTTTTATAATACAATACAATATTTTTCTCTATTTTCTTATCAATAGTTTATCCTTTTTTAATCCAAATTATAATTGTAAAATAAAAATATATTTGATATTCTGCAAGTAAAATACATTTATCATATGTATTTCAGTTACTATAAATGAAATATTTTAACATTTAAATGTATAATGATTAAATTTTCATGCACAATCAGTATATATAATAAAGTTTGAGTAACAATTCAATAGTCTCTAAATCGCTTTTAGTCAACAATATCATCAATCATATAGAACAAATCAATCATTTCCCTCTACCATTTTTCCATTTCTAAGCTAACTTTTTATTCTTAGCACACTTTGCTATAAATTTTGTCAATAAAACTGAAAATTATAAGCGTAATGTAAAACTCAAATCCTTAAAATTAGTAAAATTTAATTTTCTTAATTTTTCACACTCGATAAATTATGGATTCACTGGCATGAATAAATTGTTTTAAAAGTAAATCTATCAAAAATATCATTAAACATCTATTCAATCGACATTAATATAATACGTTAATTGAATTAATATATTTCTTAAATTTATATTTAAAAATAAATAAATTTATCAATAAAAATTGTCTGCATTATTATTAAATTATTAATTTGTATGAAAGTACAACACTTGTGTATACGCGGGAACCTAAATTGAGTAACAAATTAAATTCAACAAACACTCCTGAAAATTACTATGCACGGAAACAATGTCAGGTATGTATAAATTATATTGTTAGTTCAGTGCTTAAATTAATCATTACCCTTGGGTCATAACACTGTTGGTCATAGCAAAGTTAGGTAGACAATGTTTAACTGTATATAACTACCTATGCATAGATTTATGTATAATTCGTTCTTAACGACAAATTAATTCTTACTTCAACATGTCAGACGTCCTAAAAATTGTACAATTGTCAAAACCCAGAAGTGTAATAATTATAATATCAACTTAATATATGAAATTAATTTTTAAAAAGTATGCTTTTAGGTGCTATAGATATTTGATGAATATCCTAGTAAGACGCCTCACAAACTCTGTTGATGACCAAAAGATAAGATTCTTTTTTCAATAAAACAATATTGAGAATCGCTCTTAAATATTTGCCACAAAAAATCTAGCGCCACCCTTTTATACTTTTATCATATTGTAGCGAGGAATACACAGAAATCGACGATATTGAATAAAATAAGAGTGTGGTTTCTTTTTTTTCTTTGGTACAATTTTCAAATAAAATAAATTCTGTTTAAACAAATTTAACTCATCTAAAAACATCCAGGATGCGCTTGATTTTTAAATGTTTTTAGTTTGAGATTTATGTTTAAATAATTTAAAAGTAAAATGATCACTTCTCGTATAATGATTGCACACATAAAATGAACTATAGTTCTCCCAAAGGAAATGTCTGTAAATTGTTGATACGAATTGATACTGACATTAATGATAGCGTACACACAAATCTCGGTTAACAACTATAGGACTCTAGAGAATAAGTAGTTATTCTATAATATGCCAACAACATCCTGGTATTTAAAAATTCTAAAATACGTATCAAAAATGCTTGTTTATTAAAATTGTACTTTTTAATTACGTTTTTAAATATTTCAAAACATGGGTTCTCTACTGAAGCAATTTATATTGATTTAAATAAAAAAGTTGAAAACCTCTAATTTATAAGAATTAAATAAACAGAATTATATGTTTTTATAAGTGAGAAAGAGGTTTGGGAGGCTGTGGCATCAATGAAAAAGAATAAAGCAGTAGAACCAGTAGTAGTATAGAATATATTAGGCAATGTTGACATAAGGTAATCGATGGAACTTTTAAATAAAATCTTATTAAAAGGGAAAATTCCAAATGAATGGAGGAATAGTATTGTGGTGCTGATATTCAAAGGTAAAGATGACATACAGGAGTATGGAAATTATAGAGGCATAAAGCTTATGAGTCATAGTATTGAAAATTTGGGAAAAGGTAATAGATAATAAAATAAAAAATGAGACATTGGTATCTAAAAACCAATTTGGATTTATACCTGAAAAGAGTCAGCAATGGAGCCAGTATTTTGTGTGAGGCAACTAATAGAAAAGTTTAAATATTGACGAGGATATAAGATACAGGATTAAGTGCGGCGTCTTATACGATAAAAGAATTTTAATGAGACTGAAAGGTAAATTCTACAAGACTGTAGTGAAGCCAGCTATGATGTATAGTTCAAAGTGTTGGGCGGTTGATAAGAAAGTAGAGCAAAGAATAAGTGTAGCAGAGATGAGAATGCTTAGATGGATAAGTGGAGTGACTAGAGAAGATAGGATAAGGAACGAGCATATAAGAGGGAGTATTAGTATAGCGTCAATCGTGGATAAAATACACTTAGATGGTTTGGTCATGTTATGAGGAGAGAAGAATTGGAAGCTGTAAGAACAGTTATAGAAATAAATGTTGAAGGAAGAAGAGGTAGAGGATGACCAAAAAAAAGATGGAGAGATGCTATTGAATGTGATATGCGGACAGCTAATGTGAGCGTAGATGATGTAGGATATCGTGTCAAGTGTAAGTTTAGTATAAAGGTGGCCAACCCCAAGTAGTTGGGATTAAGGCGAGGAAAGAAGAAGAAAAAGATATTTTTTTATAAAATTACAACATTGATTTTTGAAGTTAAGAGGACAAGTTTCGTTTTTTTTTTTTTTTTTTAGTGATAAATTATTTAACATACAATTTAGGAAAAATCAAATAATAACAAATAAAAAACTTGTCCTACAATTTAATAGAATACGAATTAGCAATTTTTATAATAATAATACGTATATTAATGTTTATAGATTAGTCCAGCTTCAGTAACAGTGAGCTTAAATGGTCAAGCTGAATTGCGATGCCTAACATCTTCGAACGATGGATCACATTCTATTACGTGGTATAAAGACGGGCGCGTTGTGGCAGGAGGAGCTCAAAGAGACGTACTTAAGTTAATTTCAATAAGCCGGTCAGATTGTGGTATATACCAGTGTTTAGTACACAGAAATGACGGAGAAACAGCTCAAAGTGCAGCCACGGTATACCTAGGAGGTAAGATTCAATTTTTTATAAGTATCATAAACATTTAATCAATACTATTAAAATTTTTTTTATTATTTCTTATGCTTATTCAATAAATGAATTTTTACTCAATAAACTTTCATACTACATCCATAGGTACCATTAAAATAAAATGCCGGGAATGCTTAATTAATATCCTCCTAAAAATATTTCAATGTCTTCTTCTTCTTCTTCCTCGCATTAATCCCAACTACTTGAAGTCGGCCACCCTAATCCTAAACTTCCACTTGACACAATCTCCCACATCATCTACGCTCACATCAGCTGTCCACATATCGCATTCAATAGCATCTCTCCATCTCTTTTTGGTATTCCTCTACCTCAAAAATATTTCTATATTACAATAAATATTATATATATTGATACGTAGCTGAGAATTAAATTAAATATACTGTTTAATTTACTATTTTTTTTTTCACTATTAAAATTCTATAAGTAAAGTTTTAATTATGAATTTATTACAAATAGATGCTCCACCTATTATGGAATACACTTTTATTGAACAGACTTTACAACCAGGACCTACCGTGTCTCTAAAATGCAGTGCATCTGGAAATCCTACACCTTCCATGACGTGGTTTTTAGATGGTTTTAAATTGCCAGATCATCCTAGGTATGAAATGTATTTTTTTACTAATATCTCATTAAAATTTTTGATAATTATGTTAGTTGATATCTAAGCCGAATACAAATATAACTTTATATAAATATAAATATAAATAAAAATCATAATAATGTAGTATTTTATTACTCTCTTCAGTTCTGTACCTCATACTGATATTTTATTCAAATACATGGGAAATATTTCAAAGAAATAAATCTTTACAAAATAGCGAATAGTGAATTCTTTTATTCGGTTAAATACACTTCTAAAAGAATCAACTGGTCGTGTAAAATTTTACATACATTTTACACGCGAATAATCCATAAAAAATAAGTATACCTCAGTGATGAATAATAGTAAGCAAAAGATAATGACATATTTTACATGTGACTATTCATATTTTACATAATATTACTAAAATACTTATCAATCACAATTTACGTCTGTCAAATACAGATAATGGTAAATTCTTTATTGTTATTATTATTTTTTAACATATCAAGTATATTACACTTTGTTAAAATAAAATGAATTTTTACGTTTTTAAATGTTACTGATTGTATGAATTATAAAATTACAAATTTTTAAAACATATTTAGGTACGTGATTGGTCAATACGTGACGTTACATGGTGATATAGTTAGCCATCTTAATATTACTCAAGTGTCAGTTGAAGATGGAGGAGAATATACATGTAGTTCCACAAATCGTGCTGGATCTACTTCTCATTCAGCTAGACTCAATATCTACGGTTAGTTTCAATTAAGATTATACTTTATAATATAATATACGCTAGCAACAATGAATTTCGAGGTAATACGATATCATTATGCCTAACTATAATAACTCCGCGACTAAGGTTACAATGTCCTTAAATTTCATGTTAACTTATATACAATAACTAATGGTGAACAGTGAATGCCATCAATTTTTCTTTTTCATTATAATATAGTATAGTACTTAAAGATGACTAACTTGTTTCAAGCATAATAACATTAAGTTTTTATCGCTAGTGTGTGAATGATCAGTTATAATTAACAAATTAAGCGCACAATTCAACTTATTTACAGGCGATCCATTTGTAAGATCTATGTCCAAAATTACGGCAGTAGCTGGAGAAAACCTGAAAATTAAATGCCCAGTTGCTGGATATCCTATAAATGAAATCCGATGGGAGAAAGGTAAGAAAACTAAAAATATTTTAATGTTAAATTATAATCATGTATTTGTACCTGAATTCCGACACTCGTGAAGACGGAAAAGAGCTGCCCGAGGACTTAAGACAGAAAACAGACTTAACGCTGGGTGTACTTACAATACTCTCCGTGCAAAAAGGCATAGATGCTGGTTCATACACGTGCATAGCCAACAACAAACAAGGACATTCTGCTAAAAGAACGACCACTGTAGACGTGATCGGTAAGTCGAGAAAATTTTAATGTTTAGTAACAAATATATTCTATACAGTATATAGCTGCACTTCGGCAGTGCCGTTCAAGGAGCCCTTAGTTGTGACCTAAGAATAATTGAGAAGAATAACGATAACTGTGAGAGTAGTTTGAATAGAGGTTTTAGGTTTATATTATTAACACGAAGAAAAAAAGGTATAAACCATGATTGGAAAAAAAAGAAAGAAAACGGAACAAAACTTCATGAGGTAGAATTCAGGTTTTTTTTTTTAGACCAGAGAAAATGTTCATGTGTATTTGTATGTACTTGAAGCGATAATTCGAAAATCCTGTGTCAGCCACAGTTATCAAAAGTAATAGAATTCGACACTACTTCGCCTTTAAAAGAAAACGAAACTTAAATAAACCCATCTTAGTCGATTGTCTATATTATTTGACATAGACATGTTCTCTTTGTATATTTTACCCTTCACGTTTAGAATCTTCTGGGAATACTCTGTACCGGAGGCTTTAAATTACCTACACAGAGATGTATTCTTTTTTTCAAAGATGTCCTGCATGGATAAATAAAATTAAAAAAACACAATACTCACATTGCTTCCTTCGACAGTATACCAATAAGTTCCAGCAGGATACAAAAATACTATAAATATTTTTCAAAAATTAAGTTTATATTATTGCGTTATACATGTATAACATCTTGATGACCATTATTATATTATTTAGTATTAGTTAAAATTATGCTCTAGAATATAATGTATTCAACATAATAGCAGATATGATATTATATTATTTGATCAACATATTTTTTAAATTGACATTCAATGCGATTTCATTGGTTACAACATTTTTAATTGAACTTATAGTATAGTTTAATTTTCGAACAAGTTTTTGCAATTTAATTGAAGAAGTATTTTCAAGTCGAGACATCTATTGAAAAACCGTGACATTGAGATTTTATGTTAAGTCTACTGGTATTTATAGTAATTTCCGTTACCAGTGTTTGTTAGTAAAGAATGGAGTTGAACTTTACTTATTACCGTTTAAAGCATAACGGTAATATTTGCCACGAGGAGTAGTTACTTATCTAGACTATTTTATTTTCCTCGTAGAAACATAACCAAATAAATTTTTTTCGACTTATAAGTCAATATAAAGTTATAAGTCTTCAAAATAGCTCCGATTTCAATGTGTATAGCCTTTTTTTAGGATTATCTTGGACTGTTCAAGCACAAAATTCGATTTAAGTAATGGAGAATTCAAAAATGAAACTATTTTACATTTTTTTAAATTTTTCGGTCGTATAAGAATTTTTCTTGTTTTTGAATCATTTTAAATTTTTTTACTAGCTTATTTATGCAAAAATTACTTTTTTTTAGTAGTATTAGGTATCATACATATTTAATATGTAATCTTTGTTATATGTTATGTAAATATTCATAGGCCCTATCTGGTTGGTGTCGGTAGCCTGAACTTCCAAAAATGATAAAAATTACTTTTATATAAAAAAAAAAATTATATTAAGGAAGAAATAAGTTAGATTAGACTTGCCTAATATTTTGTTCTAATCATGCCAATCAAAAAATTGTGTTTGAAATATAGTATTTTTGAAATTTAAAATATATTTTGAACTATTAATAATACTTTTATTACAAAATCAAGTCAATAAATACATTTTTTTTTTTTTAATTTTGTAGTACAATTTTTTGTTTTAATGCATTTTAATAGAGTTTTTTTTTTATTTTAATGTAATTTTATAGTACATATATTTATATTTAAATGTGATTTTTCTTTAAAACTTAAATATTGAGGAATTTTTGTTAGGCAATTTTAGGAGTTTTTAAGGGCATTTTTAAATGTTTCTTAGGACATTTAATCACGGGCCCTAAAGTGTTAAGTTAATGATTAGTCCAACCATATGACCTTTAAGTATATTTAAAACTTATATAGATATTGCTAGTTTTCTTTTATTTCTCTCCGATGTACATAAAGCAATAGTGCTTGATCAGGCAAAATCACTAATGGAAAAACAAATTGCTTCCCTAGACCGTTCAAATATTCGGTGTGCCGTGAATTTTAAGTACGTTTACCTGTTGACTGTATGTAAGATTTTGCGTGTTAAATGCAAATAGCTGTTTTCGTTCATTCCCTGGAGAAAAGAACTGCTCCAAATAATCTGAACCGCCTTTTCCGGGAACACATGAAAATTTCTTCAAACGGCAAGAAAAAACGTTATATATTTATACAAAAGTCGCCGTGACTGTCTTAAACCTTTCTCTATATTATTAACGATTCTGACTTATTTTATATATATATAGACTTGGACTTTTCGTGATTAAAAAAGTTTGAGTAAAATCGTCAACTCGTTATGGTTACATTTAGTTCGTATAAGACAACAAATATTGTTAACAATGAATTTCTTATTTAATTCGATTTCACAAAAATTAATTTAACAATTATTTTTGCGATCAAAATACTACTGAGTAGAAATGAAATAATTTTAAACAAATGGATACATAATTATTATCTTTTAATTTTTCAAACTTAATTTACCTGCAAATCAATTGTACCTTCTAAAAAAATTAATCCTTAAGAATTAATGATTCAAGTATGTATATTAGTATATTGTTAGTAAAGTACATTTATTAATTTAATAGAAATAATTAGTAGAGAATATATATCAACTATTTAATAGTAAAAATCGTTTGTTCGATTATTTATTATTTGAAGAAAATTTATTCTCATTTATAAACAAGAGTCACATATTAATTATTCAACGAAAAACAATTTTCAAATTTTCAAATTGTACTCAATATCTCAAAACTTTAGACAGATTTTACACATTTTAAATTTAGCTTACAAATTTTTTTTCAGCAAAGTGTTAATAAAACCGGAATTGTAATTTTAAAAAGAATCTAATCATGTTTAATTTTTGTATACTGTACTTCACTATCATTTAATTATTTACCAGAAAATTCCAAACAAGTATATTAGTAGAAAAGCTAAAAAAATGAAAACAAATTATTTATTATATATTAGTCATTACAGTGATAATATGTTACTAATAAATTGTTTATTAATTTTGATGAAGTGCAAATCCTCAAATTGCGTGTTTACATAAATTCAAGTTTCAACTTGATAAAAAACATAAGTATTATTTATTGAAGTAAAGTATTAATAAAATAAAGTTGCGTTATTGCTTCATCGAAATTTATTTGTACTATTAAAAAACACATAAATAGTTCTTATGTCAATAGTATTTAAAAAAATACATTTTTCTAATAGTGCCTATTTTACTGTGAAATTTATGTTCGTGTAAAACGATTAAAATAATTATTAAAACGTAAGCCGCACCTAATATAATTGGGCCGCTTACCCTGTGACAGCAGCAGAGGACAATAACCAAGTTCTTGTTAAAATCTTATCATTACTCATATCAGGTTGGTAGATATGAAAATTATGTGGGTTCTAGTTAGCACCGTTATCCTGCAAGTAATTTAGAGAAGAAAGCAGTTAAAATTGCAGTGTCTCGTATAACATCTCCCATTTCATCCCTCTTGCCATGTCTGACAATTACAAATTACACGACAACGCATTTTCTAAACCTAATTCGTTTATAACAACACACGTACAAAGTCAATATAGTACAAAATATTTCCTTTACTAATCGAATCTCAGTACTCATAAACCGCAAACCATACGATTAATGATTTTTATTTTAAGATTATACAAATGGCCAGTAGTAATACGGTAATCATTAAGTAAACGGAATACATTAAATTTTCATAAAAAAAAAATATCGTTTTAATAAAACTAAATAGTAAATATAAAGCGTTTGTTCGAATTAACGATGGAAGTTACTGGGTTCGTTAAATAGAAATTGAAATAAAATAGATAATTTACTTGTAAATTGTGGGTATTGAGTTATTTTCATTGTAAGTGCGTATCATCTATTTCTCTTTTCCTTGGAGTTAAAACACTTATAAAGACAAACTCGGAAGCTAAATGTTCTGTTTTTATGTTCCGTTTCTGCTATTGGATGAAAGAGTATTAAAACCGTAAGACGAGTCAAGTACTCAAAAGCGATTGGACACTAAAAAGGTCTTACGAGTGTATAAATTAGAAGCATTTGACGGCTTACAGTGTTTCGATTACTTATAAAATGATTACAATACGACATAATATTGGAACCATATTCAATAACTCCTATTCATATAATTTACATGAAAAAACTCAACAAGAATAATTGTTCGCTCGTAGTAATTATCTGGTGACGACAACTAAGTCACTAACTATACTTGAGTAGATGTAATTTGGAACGAGTATCGAATACGTCATCACTCTAGTGGAGGGGATGGGTGTAATTTTCGGTTAGAGTAACAAATAGGCTTCGGAAGGACCCGGTGTGGTTGAGTTACATAAAGTTGGTACACACGTAACGTTAAATTATTTAAAACGGGATTTCAGTGCCTCCACGGCTTAGCGCGCTGCCTACAGAACGGACAGTGAACGTCGGCGAACGGGCCAGCATCACGTGCTCAGTCATTAGCGGTGACCTACCGCTGACAATAACGTGGTCCAAAGACTATCCGGGTGGTCCGTTGGGTCCGGCCGCAACGGTTACCCGGGTGGACAATTACAATAGCGTACTGGCTTTCGAGACGCTAGGGCCGCAACACGCAGGAAACTATAGCTGCGAGGCCGGTAACCACGCGGCTCGCCGACTGGTCACTCAACGATTGATAGTCAATGGTAAACAAGTAAAAGAAAAGTGTAATGCGTTGATCGAAATGTTTTTTATTCAAATATAATAGTTACATTTTTATCGTTTTAAAGCATATTAAAAATTTTTAATAGAATTTTCTTGATATTAAGTAATTACTATGTAATTATTAATTTTGTTAGTTTACATAATTAGATGTTACTGCCGATGCTGTTTTCGAAACGTGTACTTTTTTATTATAAATATTTATATTTAAATGAATACGTATTATTTTAATAATAATTTTATCTAGTTTCCATTTATATTACTGTTCTTATTAATTAAATATTGTGCCATGGTTTGATTTTTAATTTTTCCTTTTTTAATGATTTATACTTTGTTTTTCCTGTCACAGTACCTCCCGTAATAGAACCTTTTTATTTCCCTGGAGACGGCCTGGTTGAAGGTACCCGAACTAGGGTCGTGTGCGGCGTCAGTCACGGCGATCCTCCGTTGAGCATAACTTGGCTCAAAGACGGCGTGCCCGTCACCGAATTGGCGGGCCAACAATCGTCAAACTTGGACGCCGCCACCAACATCAACGACGAATATGTCAACGGTGTCGGTGGCGGCGTGTTAGTGTCCGCACTCGATTCGTACTCAAGTTTGCTCAGCATTCCCAAGCTCACACGACATCATACCGGCCGGTATACCTGTCAGGCCCAGAACCCCGCGGCCCAGGCAAGGTACACGGCTGCGCTTCAAGTGAAAGGTAAGTGTGCGCGGTAAACAAGCATCCCCAACCACTGACTGATAATGTTAATTAGCCTATCTGTTATACGACAACTCATTGCCTATTCACTACTATATTGTACACTATTGCATTCGACACACGCTAAAAATGCACTTGAACAGCTAATTGCATCAATGTTTTATGGATGGTTTTTTTAACTCGAATAGGATCGTATAAACCACATAGGCGCAATTTCAAAAACTATTTTGCACGGAAGGAAGAAATTTCTCTCCATACAAAATATTATTTTAATTTTTAGGTAGTACAATGGAAAAAAATTTGGGGATACTCAATCCCTTCCATCTCTCTCCCAGATTGCGTCTATGGTGAAGAAACGTTTTATAATATCAGATACATCTATAAGGATTATAATATACAGACAATAATCTTATATCAACTTTTAGTGTGTTCAAAGCTTCACCTTCTAAAATATGTTTTGAATCATCAAATACAATCAAACCAAATATCATAGTTGAAGCGTGATTTCTACTTAATGAATACATTATTTTCTCGTTGACACGTATAAAATATATTATTAAATAATTATGTTCTTATTGTATCTTAAAAATTACTTATTTCTTCAAGATGTAATAACAAAATTTATTTTTTATATTTTGTTACAACATTTTTCTATTATCTTAATAGTTATCATACTCGGAAACAAATTTCTTATCGACAAGACTAAAAAACCCACCACAATTTATTTCAACTGAAATAATGAAAAATGTTTCATGCTTCAACAAACTGTTTTGTTTTTTCAATCATCATATCCATTTTCACTTAGTCATTTTGTTGAAACAGTGTTGCTCGGCTTTTGCACTATTATTGTGTTGTTTTCACTTGTAAGAGTATAACCAAAACTAAAAAAAAACATACGATACGATAAACGATCAACGTTAATTACGGAATCACTAACATAAATTAACGATCAATAATATAGTAATTAAATTTAATCGAATTCAAAAAGTATTTTTTTAATATCGTCGTCTCTATTTCAAAACTGCGTACCTCATTTTTCGGAAAATCAGTATTTGCAATATCGACACATATTTAAAGCGTTTTTGGAACCAGAATCTTATTATATTACTATTATTTATAAACTAAATTTTTAAATATCCTTAGTTACAAAGAGAACTACAAAATACTTCTAATAAATTAGTAAGACTTTTTAAATTTGGCACCGTTCTTGAAATTTTGAATAAAACAAGCTTACTCTTCCCCATAGACCTATAAATAAGGGACAAGTTTAGATTGATAAACCAGAAGACAAAATGAGGGGTGGAGAGTGGCATTGCTCAAACTATCTTTTTTTTCTCACTACCACCCATCATAAAAGATAACAATAATGCGAAAACTAGGTTTTTCTCTCTCACTCTATATTGTCCCCGAGAACCAATTACAAGGTGGTGTGGTGAGCGCAGTCCATTCGTTTATATGACTATTCTTTCTCCGTAAAGTACTAAAAAACTTAATATATATAAATACAGTATAAAGCAAATGCTATAATAATGATCAGTTATACATCTTTCTATTCCCCGAATATAACATACTACAGGGGGCAGGTTGGGTTTATTCATTCACATGTTAAGGAGTAAAAGATGCTTCTTGGGTAGGCCAATGATGGACGGGACGGGTATTAAGGCCTGCTTGCATCACAAATGAAGAAATCACAAGAAAAATCTCGTGGCCCTGGCATCTCGTTGTCATCCTTTATGGCCTGCCCCTCACCTATGGTCAAAATATGTCTTTCTATGGTAAATAATGAATTATTTTCATATATAACACTGCCAAAATAATGTCACATTTTGTTAGTCCTAGTGATAATCGACGAATAAATTGTTAATGATTCAAGTTGTTTTCTAAAATATAAATAATAAAATAAGTAGTGTTAAAGAAGCCATAAAGGATGATTCTATGATATTTTGAAAAAATATTTAGCAAAATAATAATAACAAAAAAACCGTTTAAGATAAGTGCGGCCAACATTTTCATATTTTTATATAATTATACTGAAGTATTTTATACATACTTTTCTCTTACTCCTCGTCTAACTTTGCAATTTATTTGAAGTTCAAAATTACAAATATAAAATGTTTTTATAAATTTGATCGTAATCAGTCAGTTTACCTGTAAATAATTAACTTCTATACTATAAGTACTTGAAAACTACACATAAATATTTCGTTACAATTAATACTAAAAATAATGATAAAATTTGGTAAATAGCACTATCTAACCTTATGCATCACCAGTTATGTTCATATATCATTCACAGGTAAAACAAGCACTTGTTTTTTTAAATTTATTTTCTCTTATTGGATAAATTAACATTTTTCATAAAAATGGAGGAAGTGAATCAAACCTCTATTGTATTCGAAATAAATTAATAAAACAGTGTTCCAAAAAGTTTTGTAATTTTTTTTAGGTGTTTTATTTTTTTTTTATTCAACACAATTTATATTTACGGGCTGTCACCAACAGTATCAGTTTAATAGCCTAAAGTACATTGCGTTGTACACAGTGTGTACATAGTTTCATGAAACTTTAATAACTTTTTTACGACCAAATTTGATTCACTTCATCTATATAACTTTTACTATGTCACTTTTTCTCCTTTCTTTTGTCATTTTCCATTAATAGCGTTTGCACATTTTCTACCGCTATTATTTTGTTTAATACACAAAATTGTATTTATAGGTGAATCTAGTAGTATTCATAAACTTGCACTATAAATTTTAGAAATTTTCACTAACATAAAAGTATAGCTGTGTATAGTAAGATAGTTATATTTTTTTTTAATAAAACTTTTTTAACAAAGTTTAAATAAAATAATATTTTAAGTTATTTTGATTAAAAAGTCGTTATAAATTTCACGATACATTTATTTTTATTATTAATAAGGAATTCTACCAAATGATAAAAAAATTTTATGTATGTAATGTGATTGATAATAATTATCAATATTTTAATGAACATTAAATGTTTTATTTTTAAATTGTTAAAGTTGTCTATAATAAAATATTAAAATAAATGAATTCATTAATAATTTTCATAAAAAATATATAAATATTGTTACAAAACAGCATCTAATAATAAATGTTTCCTTATTAAATTTTTAATTAGAAATTGAGCATGTTTTTTATTTAATGTATAAATAAAACTATATCATTACTACTTATAAAAAGTAATGAAATATCTTGTTTTATTTTCCTAAAAAAATAAGACATTATTATGATATTTTTTTGCACGTTTGAATGCATTTTTTTGTATCTGTTTAATGTAGTTTTTATGGTATGTGATATTTATATTTAGTTTCTAGTTAAATGTAACGCCCTTAAGTCAGTAAAGATGTTCTTTTTAAAATAATAAAATATTTTATTTTACTTGAACTTATCATAAACTCTTGAAGTACTGAAGTTATTGTTAAAAATGTAAAACATTTGTAAACCACAAAAGGCTTATAGTTGGTTGTAAATTTAAAAAACATTGTACTTATATCAGTATAATAATTTAACCTTACAGTATTTATATAATTAAGACAATATTATTAGTAATTATTAATTACTAATAATGTGATACAATTTTTAACTTAATTATAAAATTTAGATGCTTTTATAAAAGCAATTCAATTGATTAAATTTCACACTATTTTACTATTTTTTATAACTTATATTTACTTAATCTGCAAATATTAAGACAGATAGTATTTTAATTTAATTTAGGTACAAATTTAGTCGTAAAATTGTTTAATAATTCAAGTCTCATAACTTTATGACATGAACTTAGGTAAATTATTAAACTGACGAAACAATTATTATTGGTTATGATCATAACAATTATTGTTGGTATTTCAAGAGTTGCAAATAAGCTATAAAACAAAAAATCATGTACGAAAATATTTTTCAATTTTTTTAAAAACAGTTCCACCTAAATGGACAATCGAACCAGTCGATGTGGATATTGAACGAAACCGACAATTGATAATAAATTGTCAAGCAGATGGTGTACCTACACCCACAGTATTATGGAAAAAAGCTACAGGTTAGAATATATTTGTTTTAACTTCTATAATTATGTCTGTTTTTAACTTACATTTACAAATCTATATGTGCATCACAGATTATGCCATGATTCTTCATATTGTCCATTAAAATTTATTAGAATGGAGTTTTAACAAAATTTAAACGAATTTTATTAAATTAATTTTTTTAGGCAAAATTAATATAATGATATCTTAATAATATCAGCTATTATTAATAAATTCTTTAAATAGACAAATACTAACTTTTTTTCTAGGGACTAAATCCGGTGATTATGAGGAACTCAAGGAAAAGTCACATACAAAAATCTTGAGCAATCATTCACTTTTACTACAAAATGTAAAGGAAGACAAACAAGGGTATTATTTGTGCCAAGCTTCGAATGGCATTGGAAACGCGATCGGTAAAGTAATTCAAGTAAATGTAAAATGTGAGCGATTCCATTCCTTTTAGTTATTTTCGTATAATAATAAATTATGTTTCTATAAAAAGCGTCTCCTCTGTTTTCTTCAACTACACGATTGGTCAATACAAAAGAAGGTGATACCGCTACATTACAATGTAATGTGACTGGAGATTATCCTATTGACGTTAAATGGTTAAAAAACGATAAAACAGACCAAATGGCTGCGAGCAAATTTCGGTAAGCTACAAAAAAAAATTACTTCTTTTTTAGATTCGATGCGAAGCTGAGAAGATATTAATTTTACTATGATGTGTTTGTATATATATTTCTATTTTATTATAAAAAAAAAAAAATTATAATGAAAAGTTAGTAATTCTGTTACATAAAATATTTAGATGAATAATGCATAATCATTTAAGTTTTCAATTTAATTTTAATATTTATAAGTTATGGTGATTTTTTTTATTGTTTATTTCAAGCCACACGGAACGCCAACAAATGTTTGGTGAAAAAATCGTTGCTTCTCTTCAAATAAATAATGTTCAGACAAGTGATGGTGGCTCATACGTATGTCAAGCGAGTAACATTTACGGCAAAGATCAACAATTAATACAACTTTATGTCCAAGAACCGCCAACTAAACCAAATAATATTAGGGTGCAAAGTGTATCTAGTACTACAATAAACGTACAATGGGAACACGATGGTGATCAAACTTCAAAGTACATTGTTCAACATAAAACTATCGATGGTAAATTTATAACTTTTCTTGATACATCAACTACAATATTTTTCTCGTTCATTGTATTTTTACGTCCCACATAAATTCAATGACATTTGATAGGTTGGTGGGATCCGACTGAAGTAAACAGTGGTGAAACCCGGACAGCAGTAGTGAATGGCCTCCAACCTGCCACTAAATATATGCTTAGGGTCTTTGCCGTTGGAATAGCTGGTTGGAGTTTACCCAGCGATGATATTACGGCAACTACAGACCCAGAAAGACCTAGTGGACCTCCTACGAGAATAGAAGTTCGTTCACTATCGTCAACTCAAATATTGGTTACTTGGGCACCACCAATAAAAGACCAAAGAAATGGCCTTATTTTGGGCTACAATGTCGGTTTTTTTGAAGCAAGGTTATAATTAATATAGTAGTAGGCCGTAACTTTATGTATATTACTTATTACTTGTACTAAATAAAATATTTTATATATAAATAAATATATTTTTTTTTAATTGAAGGGTTTGAGATAAGCCATTTTTTTTCATTTTTCAGAAGAAGCAATTTTATCAACATATTTTCACTGAAAGAAATAGTTAAATGTTTGTTCCTACATTAAACCTTCACAAATAATATAAATATAAAAATCCTTTTTATACTGAATTCCGCAGAAAAATATATTTATTCAAAATTAATCAAAAATTATTTTCTAAAAAAGTTGAACACCTGATTCTTGCACCAAACCCTTCAGTTATCTTTTATAAATAATCACATAATTTAAACGGTATAAAATAATTTTAATTTTTAATGAAATAAATAGCATGGAAACCATGTCTCACAACATGACAGCAGTTTTTGGAGATGGCGAAGATGGTGGAGAATTTATTTTAACCGATTTGTTAAAGTTTAAAAAGTATTCTATTGTAATTCAAGCATTCAACGAAGTCGGTAATGGACCATTATCTGATCCGACCACAGTTCAAACTATGGAAGATGGTAAGAAATAATGGCACTGAAATTTCCTCTAATCAAATCCATCGAATATTGTTGTTATGACTATTTATTTTATGATAATTTTTATTTATCAGTACCATCAAGTTATCCTGTAGAAGTTCGCTGTACAGCTCTGGGTTCTCAAACTTTACAAATGAATTGGCAACCTCCTGATACACAATATTGGAATGGAATTATACAAGGATTTGTAGTTACATATGATTCTATTGATAGAGGTGATTAAAAAGTTATCAATTTATTTTCATTTAACCTTTAATACCTAAAAATAACTGTTTAATTTTATCATAGATGACGAAATAGAAATAGGAAGTCGAAAAACTACATCTCCTAATATCATACTTATAGGATTACACAAGTATACGAATTACACACTAAAAGTGGCAGCATTCACTCGTATTGGAGTAGGAGAAAATTCAAAACCGATAACATGTAGCACTGACCAAGATGGTAAATTTTTTTATTTTAATAATTAAAATCAAACTAATAATTGTCTTTAGGTAATTATGCTTATAGAGCTTAAAAATTTTTATTTTTTGCAAATTTCAGCACCTGGCCCACCCGAAGAAATTAAAATTGCCATTGCTTCGGCCCAGTCATTAATAGTATCATGGGCGCCGCCAAAATATTCTAATGGTGTTCTTCTCCGATATAATTTGTACACTCGGTAATATTTACATATTTATTAACATAAACTATTAAATTGTTCATATAATTTACAACTATTTACTCAGTTTTTTAAATTTATGACACTATTAAAACATTTTGTAGAGTTTTAAATGGAGGTGAAGAATTAAATCATATGAAAAGAACGTTACCAAGTCATCAAACCACTTATGAAGCTAAAGGTCTACAACAGCAAGTAGAATACCAATTCTGGGTAACTGCTTCAACAAAAGTGGGTGAAGGCCAGAGTTCAAAAGTAGCCACACAAATACTTTCATCTTCCAGGGGTAAGCACACTAAAATATTTCCACACAGCCGAAATTTCACCTCACGTTAAGAAATTAAAATGAAATTGTGATATCAAATTTTCTTTATTATTTTTAAGTGTCGGAAATGTTGATAACTTAAAGATAACAACTTTACGACCTCAACTCCCATAAAAAAATTTTAAATCTCAAATAAAATGTGTAGTTAATAATGTAATCCAATAGATAATTATATTAATAAATAATTGATATTATAGTTCCAGCAAAAATTGTGTCATTTGGAAGTCTAATTGAACAACCTTGGAGAACTTCAATTAAACTACCTTGTTCAGCTGTTGGTCAACCAACACCAACAAAAAAATGGTTAAAAAATTTTAAGGTATTTCAATTTTGGGATGGTAACGTCCATGTTACTGAAACTGGTGATATGACAATAGCCTCCTTACAACGGCCAAACAACGACAATTATACTTGTCACGTAGAAAACGTTCATGGAGTTGACTCAATTATTTACCAAGTCATCGTACAAGGTACTACTAATTTATAATTCAAATATATTAAATAATCTTTGTAACCACTGTCTCAGATTGATTCTTATATACCATCAAAAACTTGTTGCTCCATTATAAACTAGTCTTTAAAAATGATAATAAAAGATAATAATTAAGATATAATAATACTATAAATTGATTGCAATAAAAAACGAAAAAAATAGATTAAACAAGTACTTCATTATATTGTTATAATTAAATAAAAACGAATTATTTATTGATTTACAGTTCCTCCTGAACCCCCTGTTTTATACATAGCAAAAACGACAAGCTCTAGTTTAGGATTTCATTGGAGATTATCCTCCAACGGTGATGCTCCTATCACAAGTTACACAATGACTTACCATTTGCTTCCCAGAGGCCCTTACAAGCAAGTTTCCATACCTAGACATTCAACATCATACTACCTTAATGTAAGTTCATCAATAGCAACTACATACAATCTATATAAATTTGTATATATAAATTAATATTTATTATTTAATGGTAAACGTAAATTTATAACTTACTATAAAATATAAAACCAACAATACAATATCACACGCCTTTATATTTATTTAATGAAGGTATAATTAGTTATAGTATTTAAAATATATTTTAATAGTTACTCGTAATAAAACTTAAGAATAAAATTTGATAATTTGTCATTAATAATAATATAATATGAGCATTCTTTTAAAAGGATTTAATATGTGGACAGACTTACCAAGTACATATAATTGCTAACAATAAAGTCGGCAGTTCGGCCCCAAGCGTAGTAATAACTGCAAAAACAAAAGGTAAAAAACCTGGTTGGCCGAAAAAATCATTATTCATTAAACCGAATTCAACATATTTAAGACTGAATTTAGAAACGTGGCCAGATAATGACTGCCCTATAACAAAATTCACCATTAAACACCGACCAATGCTTCAATCACACTGGACTACGTGTAAGCTACGCTTTATTAAAGTACTAAATCATTTTCATCCATAGAAATAATTAGTAAATAGAATATTTTTATAGCTTCGATGCGAAGCTGAGAGGATATTAATTTTACTATGATTGGTATTTTTGTGTATAATTTTTACCACTTTTTCTCAGCTCTCACCGAACCGATTTCTTTTAACGATACGTCAAAAGATCACAAATTATATTTAGATATTTTGAAGATGCTCTAGTAAATTTAATGTATATTTTAGCCACTGAAAACCTAAAAAATCAAAGAAAATTTACAATAACGGGACTTATACCAGCAACTGAATATCATATACAAGTAGAGGGTCACAATGCAGCTGGATCTTCTTTAGCCGATTACTATTTATTTACATTGACAGAAAACGGAGGTAATTATCATTACAAAGTAATATTATAATTAATTGATTTAAAAATTCTTAATTTAACTATTTTATTTAGAAGAACCACCACCGGAACTCATTGAAAAAAATCAAATAGCCCAAACATTCTACTATTTGGATTTGAGAACGGCAATTCCAATATTAGTTGTCTCATTAACCGTTTTATTATTGGCACTGATTGCTTTTATTTGTTTAAAAAATAGTAAGTAATAAAAATAATTAAAATTTTTCTAAAAAAAAATTAATCGATTGCACAATTATATTTATAATAAAAACAATAGAGCGCAATAATAGTCCAATAAATGTTAGGACTACACAAAACCGAAGAAATTTGGACAATCACAAATATTACGCCACCATACACAAAGTGGGTTTAACGAATTCTGAAAAAATACCAGGTAACTATCAAAAATCGATTTCTTTATAATTACACTTTCTGTTTAACAAATACATAAATTCTTTCATAGAAACATCAGCAGACATATCGCCTTATGCCACATTTCCAATAGACGAAGCTCAACACGGATCTATGCCCATGCTCCACAACTTAACTCTTAGACAACAATCAATCCACGAAAATTACGCTTCTTCTTCTCAGCCACAAAAAGTATTTTAAGTCTTTTAAATTTTAGTATTATTTTTAATGCTATGTAATTGTGTAACCAAATATGTGCATCAATAGTGTATTAGAATTTTTCAAATCCCACATATAAAATTTGGGGATGTAACATCATTTTTTAATATTTATTTTACAAATTTACAAACTTTCTGACCTTTTTTTTAGTTTCATAATCTGAAAATTTTAGAAAAACCTAATTTGTGACAAATTACCTCTGGAGTACACAATTACACTTTATGATAACATTAATTTCTTACACATAATTATAGTAACTTACGAAAATTAAAAATAATTTGAAATCAAAGCAAATAAAGTTACTTTGAAAATCACGTTAACAATAATTGATTTTCAATTATTATTATTTATATTATTATAATTATTATAATAATATAAAATAATTTATATATTATGTATAATATTATATGCACATAATAATATTCAATCATTATAAATAAATAAACTTTTTCTTAGATGTTCAAAAATAGACGCAGCAGGACACAACAGGATTTGTTTGAAAAACGTACGACTGGTCCTCGCATGGGAGATTCAGATTCAGATGTTGAACAAAATATAACTTCAAGTAAGCTAAAAATAACATGTTATTAGAACAAAACTATATTAATAAGCTACTAGCATTATGATGCAATTCAAAAACTGGTATTAGTAAATAATTTAAAATTTTTCAAAAGTTTTGTAATACCCTTAAGTAAAATATTTTTCTGTTTAGTCAACATATTTATTTACAGTTCAGAGTAGGGTAAGAAAAGGTAAGATAGCAAGGTTACGCTTCTACGATTTTTCCTGACTACTGTGAATGGATTTAAAACCTGAAATTTGCATGAGAACTGTTTAAATATCTAGCTTAACATTGCAAATTTTTTCAATCGTCTCTTACATATTCAAAGGAGCATAATATGATTTTTCCTGAAAATCGTCATTATTATCATCTTTCCCAGGATGAAATTAAATTACGAAAACGGTTTTAAAACTATTAACAAAATCAATTACAAAATAAATGAGTCCTTATGAACTAATAGGTATTAAGTAACACTTTTAGAATAATTTTTATGCTAGCTACCATGTTCTACTATACATGATTGATTTCAAGAAAAACTGAATATGTCATCTTACTTGATCTTCCCCTACAAGTTATGTTTTTTAATTAAGCTAGACGAATCTTTTTCACACTAGGTATGTGATCAAATCTTTGCTGTCAAACAACAGTTAATAGTTTTATATTTTAAATAAAAATTTCCAATTAAATATTATACAATTCAAATTTTAATTGTAGGTTTCATATATAGTAGAACACAATCAAGCACATCATCAGATATATCTCCACCGCCAACTGAACAAAAATCATTACCTAGAAGATCGCAGACCAGGTGCTACACACGCGTTGTAGTAATAACACAGTAATTTAATTAAATAAATTTACTCATTAAATTCTATTTAAAATTAGGTGGTTCCCATCTAACCACTCCAAGAGATCTACGGCAAATTCGTCACAATTTCCATCATCTATTAGACGATATCCACAAAATGATAAAAACAATGAATCGCTAAAAAAACTCAATATTAATAAATCAACATTATGGTCCAAACCAACAACAGATAACAATCCTCGAACACCTTCAGATTATTCCATAGCTGTTTAGTTATTTGCATAATATTGATTCACTCTAAAACACTTTTTTTACTTATAATAATAAAATTGTTATACAATAATATTTAGGACTAAAGTTTTTATCTAATACATTGTATTATTTTATTATTATATTATTATATTATATCATATATATCGAATATTATAAAACGAAACGTGATAATTATAATGAGACTCTAATTTTTACATTTATATTTTCTGCAGAATCAAACATTGTTTTCTGTTTTTGATTTTGAAGATCCATTATCATTAGTAATAACTAATATATAAGCATAGAAAATATATAATAAATATAGTATAAGTAACTACATTTGTGAAAATATCGACAAACACTTCAATATGTTTAATGAAAAAATTAAAAGGACGAAATATTTTATACTTATATAATGTTCCAAATATTTTTGAAGTAGAAGAACAAACTTAAAAATATGCCTACTTAATCAATATATGAATGAATTTTTGACCTTATTATAGATCCTTGAAAATTTTGAAAACAAAAAATACAATACACAAAGAAATTTAATTATTAAAATAACATAGGAATAACATAATATAGGATTAAATTATAGAATTGTTTTTACATAATAATAATAATGTAAATATAAATTTAAATTAATATTTTTTAGTATCGATTTTCTAAAGTGTCTATTTGCTCCTGAAGTTGAAGATTCTTTTGTATCTCATATTCAAGTTGTTTTACAGCAGACAAGTACTGTCTATGAGCAGATACACAAGAAGATAATTGATTGTTTAAGTTACTTTTAACACTCTGTTCATTGTTTCGTTTATTCTCCACCTAAGAAAATATAAAATTAAAAAGAAAAATGCTACTTTGTATGCTAAAAGTATTAATACATTTTTTTATCCAATGATATAGTAGAGATATTTTTGAAATTAAGACTTGGTGAGACAAAAAGGATACACTAGTTGCTATTACGATACATGATACATATCATGAGGGAATTTGTCAATGACGTATAAACACAAAACACTCTTCAGGTATACAACAATGGGAATTAACTGTATTTATCATTTACACATATACAACAAAGTGAAGCTGTTATAAAAAGTATTGACCATAGTATAGTATTGATTTGTGTATTATTATAAGACATTTAGACTCAATGCCTCAAGTGGTATATGCTAGCATATTAATAAGTTATTTTCTTTTTTTGGTAGAAAAGTTATGAAAACTTGTACAGCTAGCTAAAAATAAGCAACACTCTGATGTATATCACAATAACCACCAGGCTATTTTGTACCGTATAATATTTCCTTTGAAAAATATATTTTACTATCAAATTTCATAATTTAAAAAATAATAATAAAAATTTTAAAAGCTTCTAAAAATTAAGACTCTCTAAAAAACTCTGAGAACTGGTCTGAAATAAACGAAAATATTAATAGAGATATTATCTTTATTCTGGTTACTTCACATGTTAAGCTATATAGCAAATAACAATGAGTCCCAATTAAATAATTAGTAGAGTAAAAAGATATGTTATTATACATTGTATTTTTGTTATATAATCCTAATAAAATACATTCTGAACACTATTTTTTAACTTACTTTATCTAAAGTTTGTTTTACACTAACATCTATATTTTCTAGTTGTCTTAAAAATTGTTCTTTTGCTTCAGGAGATTTCATTGCCCTATAAATTTAAATAAAAATCTTTAATTTATTTATATAATTGTTTATCAAATTTACTATCTAATTATTTACTCGGGATAAGCATCCAATATTGAACTAAGTAGTGATAATTCTTTATTCAAATACATTTGAACATCACTTAAAGTATTATAAAGATCATAATGTCTTTTAGTTTCTCGATGCCTTGCAGATACTTAAAAAAAAACCTCATTGATAAAAGCTTTACTTCGAAAAGTATAATATATTGATTTAAATACCTTCATTGGAAAGCTCCACAAAACGTCTTTGATATTGTGCTAATTCAGCTCTATCTGGTATTTGATCTAGTTTACGTTTCATTAAACCAACAGCTCTTGCTTTTTTACTTAACTTTGTTCGTGCAACTTCAACCATACTTTTAATTTTATCCAGTTCTTCTTTCAGTTCATAATCATCCTCTTCGGGCTCATCTAATAGCCTACTGTGTTCCCTTCCATAAAAATTTGTTCAATTATTAAGTGACTCTTATAATTTATTATATTATATACATAGATGGACAGATAACTAATAACTCTTTTTCCATAACTATATTAAAACTATTGATAAAATTTTCATTTTTTAATCATTTTGTAATTTAAATTATTAATTAAACTTATGTTAAGTTAAAATAATTTAATATTTTAGTTTATTATTTAAATATTTTTTAATAATAACATCTCTAGATTTTTCTCACAAAAAATTTATCAATTCTGTTAATATTCATTTATGATAAACTATAAACTATAATTAATATATTATTAATATAATATATCTATTATTACATCAGTCAATAAAGTAATGAAATATTACATCAACAACGGAAATTTCTTTAATTTTAATTAAGTACATAGTCTTAAATGATGTAAAACATACACAAGATGGGATCTAAGAATTCTAACATAAGAAATTAAAAAGATGCAATGCATCACTGAATTTTAAATTTAAAATGGATACAATATTGAATAAATAGTTCAGATTTAAAACAATGTATTTTTTGTACATAAAAACACATTTTTCAACAAAGTAAATATTTTAGATGAATAAAAATGAATATCAGATTATTACTTAATATCTTTTTGATAAATTTCTATTTTGCTATTACATTCTTTTTGAAATAGTTCCTCAAGTTCTTTTAGACGTTCATATTCAATAATTAAATTTTGTACTTCTTCAAGTTCTCTAAAAAATTGTTAACAATTATAAATTAAAAAATATACATAGTAGTTCACAGTGTCTTTTCAAATCTAATAACTTTTGATCTACTGTATATTATGCATTACTTTTATTTAAAAAAATTTAATTTTAAAAATAAATTTTTTTTTTAATTTCTAATTTTTTTGGAAATTTCAATGTAGTTTTTTTTAGCCCTTTTCTTACAAAATAATTTGTATGGGTGGTCAATAACAACTTTAGGATAATTATTTATTATGTTACAAGCATTTTAATACTTAAAATAGGTAAGTTGCATAGGCAGAATATACATCGTAATATTATTTTAATTGTAATACAGCTCATTGTAATAAGCTGTATCTACCTGCGCTACATACAGCCTCTAAGTATTATAATGCTTGTAACTTAATAAGCACTTATTCTTAAGTATTATATACCAACTATCAAATTTGTTTAAAAGAAAAATTCTAATAAATGACTATTTCAAAATTTTTCAAAAATAAAAAATTATGCTTTTTAAAAAAATTCCAAAAATGTAAAAATTATTTTTAAAAAAAGAAACACAAAATATTCAATAAATCAAAATTTATGAGGCTTGAGAAATCTAAAAATAACTAGTTAACAACTAAAATAATTTCCAACAAAAAAATTGAGAATCTGTAAATATAAAATTATTTATTATTAAAAATAATAATTTTTACTACTTCAGTTTTTATATTTATATTAATACTTATAAAATAATATACTTAAATAAAATATTGAAATATTCATATTTTGCAAAAAGCATTTTTTATTATTTTATTAAATGGTTGTCTTTTAAATAATACTACATAATTTTTTATCGTATTAATACCTCTAGTAACACTCCCATGTAACTAAGAAATTTATAAGAATATTTTGTTGACCCTAACTAATAATTTCATACTCCACAGATCGAAAACACTACTTTACACAACAGCATATTGGAGAAAAATAAAGATCTTATCACTAGTATCAACTAATATAATTTCCAAAAAATTATGATTTAAATTATATAACTAAAAAATAACATCTTAGTAATTTATAGCACTAAGGCAAAATATTTATTTAACACTGACTGTTTTTTATCATCTCCTACATCAAAATTACAAGGTGAACATTCTTTTATTTTTTCCTGAATTTCCTTAGTTTGACCTTCAATTTTTGTCAATTCTTCCATTAACTTTTGATTTTCTAGTTTCAACTTTTGCATCCTTTCTTCATTAGTTATAATAACCTATAGTAGAAAAATATTCATTTTGTATTCATATTAATTAGTCATTTTATTTTATTAAAGTAGTTAAATATTATATCTGTTACCGTTTCAGAAAAATCAATGGGATCAAAAGCTTTTGCTATAAACCAATTAGTAATTTCCTCATTATCAGAAGAATCTTCATCATAATCCATGAATCTAATTTCTTCTTTTTTATTAAATGAAGTAGTTGCTTTTTTTCGAACAGTCAGACATTTCTAAAAAATATTATATCATGGAGAAAAGATGAGCAAATTTCTTGACAATTATAATCAAAAAGATTACTTTTAGATAAGCACAACGATTTTTCTGTGGCATTTGATTTTTAGTATGAGAATCTATTAACTTTTCAAACTGATTTGCAGCATAATGTGTTAAATACTCACCTCTTTCTTTCCTTTTTTCAATTGAACGTTTTACCAACCACTATTTAAGGAATATATTAAAATATATACATACTTTTAACTAAAAAATTATTATCAAAGTTACTTGAACAATAGGAAATATGTGTATACAGTCAAGTCCTTGTATTTGATGAGGTTCAATTAGATAAGGACATTTCATTTTAGGTAATACAGATACAATTTTCTCTGTAAGAGAACTAAAATAGAACTAATTAGATATCTAAAACAATTATTTACAGATAGCTTAAAGTAATATAACATACATTTTTTGTCCAATGACTAATGATTCATCAAAATGTAGGTCAACATCCAAATCTACAGTACAATTGTCAATACACCATGCTAGACCTCCAACAATCTAATATTTAAATTATTAAAGGTAAAGTATACAATATAATATTAAAAATTTAATACTTTATCAAATGAAGCCAACCCTTTGATTCTAGCTCGAAAATATCCAGCAGCTATTAACAAATCCATAATTTCTTGCAACTTTAAAGCTTGTTCTTCATCATCTCGAGTTTCAATCTTTAAAAAAATATATTTCAGTTATAATGAATATTGTAACAAAAATTACTCAGGAAATAATTTTTTTTTTATATATAAAAAATAATCTGAAATATTTAAAAGGTATGTAATAAAAAAATTACCTCTTTTTCTCTTCCATCAACATCAATAAAAGTTGTAGAAATCTTTAAACTTTTAGGTTTGAAAGCTTCTTTCAGTGACATAATTAATTGTATATTAAGTAAGTTATCTATAATATTTATGTAACTCCCTTGAAAACTATTTTTTCCCTGCTTCTTAAATTTACAAAATCTTAAAAACCCGGGCTTTATCATTTTTATCTAGATAAGATAGAATAAGACTGATAATTATGCCATTATCTTATAAATGTGCGTGGATCTCTCTAGTTGTCCATGTGCTTACTAAAAATAATTTTTACATTAAAATACAATAATATTAATTAACAGCTTGATGTAAGAAAAATAAATAATTTTTATATTTATTTAATAATAAGATTGTTACCATTTAAGTTAAGCGTGTCAAAAAAGTTAACATTATGTATTGAAAAAAACCTAAATCAGTTTTAACGTTAATCAAAATTTAAACGATATATATGAAAACGTTATCTATTTATTTTATTTAACATTTTAACATTATTAAATTTTTATTAAAATTTATGTTAAAAGGATTCAAAACATAATTTAATACATAAGCAGTATTTAATATGATCAATGGACTACTTCATTCTTACATACAGTTTTTTTTTAATATAACGTCGTTTTTAACCGGTCCATCATTTCACAAAGCCAATCACTTCACACGCGATTTATTTTCATAACAAAGTTTTTGCTACTTTGAAGGATGGAATTTTATAGTGAAAATATTAATAAAATAAATAACATATGATTTGAAATATTACATCAAAAATTAACTAAAATTAATAAAAGATCCACTATGACTCCCTAAAAGAGAAGATATTGAAAAAATTTTAATTTAGCATTCTCAAAAACAATCTATTTTATCAACCTTTTCTCTATTCAAAAGTAAAAATGTTGACATTTTTTACTAATATTGGCTTACAAAAATTGCGTTGTAAAAACATTTTGCTAATTTGTACTGAAAATTTAGACTGCTCAAATTTGAACCACCCAAATATACCCCTGATTAAAATAATTAAAAACACTAAAATTACTATTCTCAGATAGTGTCTGATAGTTTTATATTGAGAGATTTTTCAATTAATTTTTTATAATGGCACAAATTTTGATATCATTCTTTTTCTAAATTTTAGTCATATTTTCTTTGAAAATTATTAATTTAAAGAAGATTGGAATGTGTTTAAGAAAATGTTAAATTACCATAAGTGAAACTACGGTCATGGTCTGATCTAATATTTAAGATCATTTTTGGATAAAAACTGTAAAACTTGACAAGGAAGGGTTGCATATGAATAATGTCACATTGTTTAACTTAAGTTATCATAATGTAAAAATTTTATATGAGCCACAATAACAATAAAAGAAAAAAATACACCAAACAAAAAGTAAAAAAAAAAACTAGTGTTTATATAAAAAAAATCATACAAATAGAAAAATAATAATAAATTTGAAGGTCATGCGTACTAATATTTAATTAAATTTGGATAACATCCAAAAATCATTTGTGTAGCAGAATATAAATCAAACACCAAAATTAAAATCTACAATAGAAGAAGAATTTTACATAAACAAGCGTAATTACGAAATATTTAATTTTTGACATACAAGAATAAATACATAGTTTTAGCTTCGATGCGAAGCTGAGAAGATATTAATTTTACTATGATTGATATTTTTGTGTGTAATTTTTACCACTTTTTCTCAGCTCTCACCGAACCGATTTCTTTCAGCGATACATGAAAAGATCACAAATCGTATCTAGTCGAAGATATTACCCTCAAAAATTGAAAATATTTCCCTCGTTTCCCGTAAATGGGGGAAATCTCCAAAAAAATTACAAACTTAAAAATCGCTAATTTTCAATTTTTTTACTTAAAACTGCCATAACTTTTTCAAAAATGACCAAATCAATATAATTTATTTTTATAGATGCATGATGTCTTTATCTATTATTTGGTGTATTTTTTCATAAATCTGACTCTTGACTTGCCCACAGGGGGGATTTAAAATGACAACTTTTTCACGAAAAATTAATTTTTTTAACTTAAATTTTGAAAGTATTTTTATCTTTATAATGTTATAACTTTTTGAAAAATGTATGGATCATTATAATTTTTTTAAGATAAGTACAATTTATATTCTTATTTCATTCGACATACTTACATTCATATATTACACTTATAAATCATAAAACTTGTAATCAACTTGGAATCAAACTTGGAATCAGGATATAAATAAGGAAATAGGAGATCATGTAGCTTTTAGAATAATCCATTAATGTTTTAAAATTAAACATTATCTACAGATTTGTATTGAAGCGTTTTTTATGATAATGATTTTAATCACTGTCGGATATCATTATACTTGACCCAACTATGCCACGCTTACACTGTGCCGAGACCCCACTGTGCTGGGTTTTTTATGTTGTATCTAAATCTCTCTTTAATCGAATAAAAATAATAATTTTGTATTATCAAGGCATAACATTTTTTTTATTTATTTTGTTGGATCATTCAATATATGTTTTTTTATTGAAATAATTAATTTGTCTACTTAAAAAAAGAACATTCCATTATCATTCTGATTACAGCATTTCGTTAATAGAATGTATTCCAAATTCTAGATTTTATTAATTATTTATTTACATATTTTATTTATAATCTTAAACTATATAAATTAAATGTTTTTATAACTTTGGAAACAAATTCGTGAAATGATTTTTTATTATTCTGTAGTATTTATAAAACATAATTAACAATGTTTTTTTAAATATTATATTTTGTTTATTACCTATGGCTGTTCATGGGTACACCCATGTCCACAGGTTTTCCTGGTGGTATACTCTTTTTTTACTAATGAATCCGTGTTTACCTGTTTAATTTAGTCCGTGCAAATTTTATTTTCCTCATACCGATCTGAATCTGTCTATCCATTCTTAAGGCTAGTAATTATTATAAGACAACAATAGAAATATTGCCTAAATTTATCGCAAGATAATATAATATAACTGTATTTTTTAGATAAATATTAGTTAAGTAACACATTTAAAGGTGCAATTTAATGTCAAATGAATTAATATATCTAACGGTTCTAATCGACATATTCTTCTTCAACGTGATCGGCATGTGAATAATCACTATGTAATGTTATTTTATCATAGTCGAGTTCTTCAACTATTTTGAATTTTAAACAGTCTTTCATATGATCAAAACGTTTTGGTGAATTTTTTTGTAGACGACGGCAAACAGTAATTAAATTTTTACTTAACATGCATTTGTCGCGTGACAAAATCATTAAAATTTGCTTACAATTAGACATTTCTTTAAGCACCTCTTTGATTTTTTCTTTATCTGTATTTGTTCTTGATAAATTCTTACGCACAAATCTGAAAAATTATGTATATTTGGAATGTTATTAAAAATCCATTTTTTAACTTCATTACTTACACAACTGAACATTATTGTAATGCTTATAAAAATTTCTTATAAATTTTGAGACTCATATATCTGTGCTATATATCAGATACACGTACCACAAAGTCGCTGATATTAAGCAAAATCGTTTAAAAAAGGAAAACTGAACTTTTCATTAAATCTTTTGGTACGTTTAACTTAAAGTTCAATCTACATATAGAAATTATTACAAGGATTTCAAAAATATACTATTTATACAACTACAATTTTTAAAACAATTAAAAGTCAATATACATGATATTTAATGTAAAAGAATTTGAAATTCTCAAAAATTCGGTAATACTATTTTTTCATATTTTTCTTTAGATATTTTCCATCACTTTTAATTATTGATTTAAGTTCAATAAATTACACCTGAAAAATTTTAGTATAAAAAATATTTGCGTTTTTACAAATAAGGAATTATCTCAAAAAGTAAAAGCAATAAAAGCATTTGAGAACGATCTGTATTAAATTGTTTCTATTGCTAATTTCAAATTGTAAATAATGATTAATTTATAGTAAAAAAAATATAAAAATGTACGCTGAAAATACCCCTTAGTTAAATAAACCAAATTTGTATTACTATATGTCCCAAAAATATTTTTTAATACTGAAAATAATATTATTCAGCTCTTTACATTCAATTGAAAACCTTATGATTATTAATACGTGATAATTTACTTATAATTTTCATTTGTTTATTAGTTAATTATTGTATCATTTCATTTGTTTATGTGTTCATAGTGTTGTTCTACTAATTTCAAACCATTAATAATAAAAATATACGTGGAAAGCGCATTGAGTAGTTGATTTGAAATGTTAAAAGTCTATTAAATGTTTTAATTAATTTCATTAAATTATAACTTTCCGTAAGCGACTTGTTTTTATGAATTAATACCGGATTTTGAATTATAATAAATACATTAAAGTGAAAACGAAAATGTTTACTTTTCTCGAACTAATCAAAACTATATAAATATATTATTAATTTATTTTTTTTACTTATCCTATTTATAATACAAATAATAACTAAAGTAAAACTTTCATTGTTTACTGTATTATTTTTCCCACAAATATGAATACATTTTTGTGTTGATACAAACAATTTTAAATTTAATATTAACAAAGTTCAAAAGACTATTTAACTAAATAATTTGTCATTAGACAAAATTACCAGATTGTATGTATTACTTATTTTATCCACTATACTTCAACTAAAATAAAAACAATTTTAGTCATGAAAATTTACTCGATTGGACAATTTGGTGGCTGTGATTGCATAAAGACTTTATATAACATCTTAATTGATCTATTTATAGCTTTCCAAACTCCAGCTTTTCGTAAGTAATTCATAAACACATCATACTCCGTATTAGATTTCGACTAATTAAACCAATTAAATAATAGGATTAATTTTAATATTAATTAGTCAACATAAATTAAATTAATAAACCAATATTGAAATAATTTTTTTAATTTTATGCAATTTAATTATAAATAAATACGTTCATTTTAAAAAATGAATAAAGTCAACTGTTTAATTTTCAGTTATAATGTCACCACAGGTTATGGTCAACGATATTGATTGCAATATAATTCATTTAACATAAAAATTAAGTCACCTTGATCTTAAGAGAATTTATAAAAAAAAAATGTCAGTTCTACGTTTATAAATTATGATTTCATTTAATCCACAATAATATATATTTTTTGGCACCGTATAACTTGATTAATATCATTACATTACATTACTTAATCCTCAATCGAATCACATAACTAATAACAGTCGTATTTTAATGGGTTCAAACAAGCTTTAGGTCACAATGTAAAAATATGCCAACCACCTACACCTCTCACATAACTCTGAATTTTAAATACTTTCGTTCCTATTGGCACGATGAATTTTACACGCGTACTCGACACAAAAAAAATAATGATTGAACCGTTTAAACTTAAATACTAAAATGATTACCAAACGAATTTTGATTTTAGATTTCAGAAATTTACAATTTTTATTTTTAGCAGCATTTTTATAAATCTTAATATTGTGTCAAAATATGTGTCATATAATACGAATAGCATATATGTTATAATACACCACTTGTATTGCACTAGAATAGACAGAGTAATTAAAATTTTTCTACAAAATTAGGCATTCGTAGTTCTTTTTTTATTCGATGTTGTTAATCTTCACGATCAAACTTTACGTTTTATTAACTTTGAAGAATTATTTATAATTATTAAAGTATTTCATACCAACTGTTGCGAGTAAATTTAAATTTAAATAAAAATATATTACATGTAATATAATATTACTAATTGTTAATTTTTTAGTGATTAATTACAAATGTGTAAATAATAATTATAAATATTAATTTAGGATAAAATAGTATAATTTATAGAAGTATATTTGATTCAAATTGTAATAAATCATTAAAAGCGTTTCGTTATTTAATGACTTGTTTAAAGCATATACTTGAACATTTAATTATAAAATACATTTGCACGACTTTATTCATATTGAGGCGTAAGTAAATGGTCTTTCACTATGTTCTGTTGTTTTAGAAAGTATGGCAATTATTATATTTATTGAATAAGTGCATTAGGTTTATTTAATCCTATAATAAAAATTAATCACTTGTGGCTAATATTATTTAAAATTAAAATATTTAACTCAAAAAGCCACAAAAAAATGACTATAAGAATCTCGAATACATTTTTCGGGAACAATGCTACCATTATCAATGCTAAACACATACTGACACACACATCAAAAAAACTCCTTTTATACCCCTAGTATATGAACATTATACATTATTAACATTATGACATTTTACCAGTTTAGACAAATTTAATAATGAATTTATCAGTGAGCCTAAATCCTAATTAATGAAACTGTTCTTATTTTTAAACATTTCAATTACCTCATTTATATTAAATTATTTGTGATTAGTTACGTTTTTAATTAGTTTTATGGTTTTGATGGAGTGATTATCTTTCAATGAATGTTTAATCACAGAAGATTTATCAACTTCTTAATTTTTAATGTTTCTTGAGTGTTCTTTAAATGTGGCCCTATATTTATTTTTGTTTATCCTATGTAATATTTATTACAACTTTCACATTGTGTTTTATAAATGCCCGATTTCCCTCCCCCTACTTCAACTTTATCATTAGGGTTACCTAACAAATTCTTAAAAATTCTAGCTATTTACTATATTATTAGATTAGATTTGAGATGCCCGGATAATATTAAATGGGCGGCCTAATTACTTTTTGTTCCCCACATTATGAGTAACTAGCTGGCCTCCTTTATTTATTCTACTTTTATGTTTGAATTAATTTTGAAATTACATTTTCGTTATACCCATTAAATTTAGCTATTTTTCTAATAACACCCAGTTCTTAATCAAAATCTATTTTATATATCACAAGATTATCTAATCTGTTAACGATACAATTAAAAGCTGTCATATTTTATTGCAAGCTATGGTTCGAGTTGTTCGCAATGTACCTGAACGTGTGTGTACTTTTCCTATAAATTTCAAAATTTAGTTCAATTTAATTAAATATTGTATGGAATTCAACGTTTTAAAATCTATTACTGCAAAAATATCATCTACATAACCCAGTACCTAACCCAAATTTTCGGAAAAACACCATAAAATTTTTTTAATTTGTTTCGAACCTACTCATAAATAATTCTGCTAAAAATGGTGATATCAAATTTCCCATTGCTGTACCCTCAATTTGCTTATTTATTTATCTTTTTCAACCTTGTTTTAAAACTATTGACTACTTTTTAATCAATATTATTTAAGTAAAATAGTATCTAGTACTTTTTTCACTTAAGTAAAAAAATATATAATATTTTGTGACAAAGATGACGATGAAAATAATTCCATCTCATATAAATTTAACAATTTGACCAAGAAATTGAACGTAGTAAATCAAAAAGCTATTCATGTATGATTACATAAAAACCAGTTTCAAAAATTATACATGCAATAGGAATTTATTGATACAGTAACTGTATCAATAAATTCCCAAAAATATATAACTGTTATATATTTTTTAAGTGTAGTATTGAAATTTCAAATAAAATAATTCAAAAATGCCATGGTTAATATACGTGATAAATACGAGAATTCAGTAATTTCTAATAAATTGTTTTATAAATATTTATCATCTCTGTACTTATAATAAGTATTTTCTATAATTATTGAAAAGTGAATTATCTACAATATTGTACTTAATATTTAATTTAAATATTCGTTTAAGTTAGAATAGTGGATTTAATATTTACTTACCTCAAACATTTTATCAACGTCCATTTTCGTTTTACTTGTAAAAGTGAAAATTATGTTATTTTGCGTTAATAAACAAAGCTTATTTAACAGTTTCCATTGTAACAAAAATTTTAAATATAGTAGTCGAACATTTGACAAATTCATTCGATATTAACATTTTAATAAACATTTAAAAAAAAACATAATAATTTTTTTATGGAATACAGAGTTTTATTTTTATACTTCCAAACTACACCAAACAAAAACAAAGCATGTCATAACAAGATATAATACACATTTTTCACTGTGATAACAATCAAAAAAGCTAACTAGTGATAAATTATTTAAACCTTTTTTTAAAATTAATATACGATCTCTGTAACAACCAAATACGCAAAGAAAAACTTTTTTTTAATCCATTGTAACAAAAAACGTTTTTAGCAATAAATGATTTCATCTCCTCGTTGTAACAAGTACTTGATGGACGTGTGTTAGAATCTAAAAAATACTATTACATGAAATATCTGGGACATATTAACTGGGGTAGAATCAGTGAAATAAGATAAAAAAATGATTACTTAAATTACATAATGAATATTCTGTGTTTACTCAGTTGTTATAACTATTAATTTTCTAATGTCAATGTCACTTTTTATTAACACATGATATATGTAAAATTTCCAATGATTAATAAAAAACCTTCATTACATAAGGATGTGAGTTGAAACACGTCATCTTAAGTGAGAAATATATTCATTCCTCTGTAAAAAATTACTAATCAATAAAATGACCTAAACAAGAAAAAAATAAATTTTACTGAATAAAATTTGATTCCGAAAATTATAAAAACTCTTTTAAATTTCCAAATTACTATATCTTAACATCATTATATTTCAATGAAAAGTAGTCACCATGTATTTTATAATAGTATCAAACTATACAAAGAAAAAATGAATTGCTAAAAATCACATACAATTTCCAATGTCACTTATATTTAAAAATAATAAAGAAATATTTTTAATTTTTAGATAAATCATTTATATTATTTGTTTTAAGTATTATTATAATATTATACCGAAATTAACTTAAAATAACAATTTCAATCAAAAATTTTTTTTATTATAACTTTAAAAATTCGTGATGTTTTTGATAATTTTTAGAGTTTTACAGTAGAGTTTATTAAACTAATAGCCGATCTTAAAATGTATAAATTAGTACATTAAAGAACAAAAATGAGTGAAAAGTATCTAAATCTTTGTGTTGCACAAAATCCTTTATACATGAAAAATTTAGTACTTGCGCAGGAGTATATTTAAATACTCGTAATGAGGAAAAAGTACAAATCAAATTCTTCGTTTGTGTAACTACCTTGAAATTTGTTGAACTGATATGAGCAAATATAACATAAACAAACATTTTTTATATCAGCATTGTACGGTCAATGAAGGAGGACACGTACCCCTATGTCCCCTCTAAATACACCATTGTGTTTGTGTACACTTGTTGGCCATGATTTATCAGCGGAAAAAAATTGAAATCCAAACAAAGACCAATAAAAATATTTTCTATTTTCCTCGTTCTTTAACAAGTAGATAACACTTGAATGTGCGAACAAAACGTTATTTGTTGGGTACTAAGAAAAATTTAATTATTTTCTGCAGAAACAATGAATTTCGAACGAGTTATTCGTGAACACTTTAGTACATAACGTTAACACCCCCGAGGGTTTGAAAACATTTACAACAAAACAATTACAGATTAATGACATCCACGTAGACAAAATGATTTTGAAATAACTCCCGTGGCGTGCGGCGGCGGGCTCAGATGACTAGGCGGAAGAAGAAAATAATCATTAAAAACATGTACAGACGCAATATTCACCTTAGACAATATTGCATTGTCCTTTTTCGAGCGCACAATAAAATAATGTTAAAATAAAGTTTTCTTTCTTCGTTCGATCCGACGGCAACGACCACGTCGCACTCGCCGAGCAAGTCTCCCACCACACGGTCGGGTAACACGTAACGACCAAAGCCAAAGACCCGATCGACGTCTATCTTAGGCCATGCACAGTCGTCCGGTCGCCGCGTGTTGGCGTTCGCGTGTGCTATACAAACAAGTCGACATTAAAACTGTTGTCGCTCAATACTCTCACCCGTTTAAACGAGTTCGCACGATTTCAAAACTATGAAGTGACCAAGACAATTCACAATCGGATAACCGCCTCCTACTCACAGCGGACATCAAATAAACGTGCCAAAGTAAGACATTTTGCTTGTGCTTTTGATATTATTATTTTCTGGTGAAAATATATTATCTTTGCTGGTTTCGAAACTCCTGTTGGCGCTCGATCTTTGGAGAACTCACAAAATAATTTTAAAATAACACAATTATAATTTCATAAGTTTTAATCGGCAGTGTAATGTACAACGTGTTTCAGTTGTTAACTAGCGTTTAAGTCTACCGTATCCTTTCTAAATGTGCAACATACTTTTCACAGTCTATATCGAATAGATAACGTTTTCGAATAAGCAATTTATTAATACGTTATGTACTCTTAAAAACATAAAATAATAAAATTTAATTATGCCTCTTGGTATTACACTTTTACTCATTAGAGATTAAGTGTGTTGTAGAAATTATCACATGGTTGCTTTTCTTGGTAATTAGTCAATTTCCAACGATCAACAAGTTTCAAATTATTTATGATGTATTAATCAACCAAAATAATATTTAATGTTTTTCAAATACTCTTAATAAACTTTTTTATGATAGATTTAAGCATAAAAGCATAAAACATTTTAGCAGAACAATCATACTGATAGTATGATGTCTAATAATAAAATAATATCATATTAATAGTATGATAGATATTACTTGCATTGTTTAATTATAAACTAAAAGATTCGCCTATTATATATAATTTACAGTCAATCTTTTTATAGACGTCAACACCATCTTAACTATAGGCAGACAATATCAAAATAAATATAACAATAATAATCATATAGAAAGCATAACATAAAATTAAATAAAAAAATATGTAGCAATGCACCAATTCCTAAGATTTTTCCTTTCACTGGCTGATCGACCGCTGTCGTTTCACTTTCACGGCTAATGTATACCTTGCTAGTCTGAAAAACACTCACATAATGAATTCTATCCTGTGTCCATTTACTCGTATACCAAACTCTAGAAACATAATAATATAACTATTAAATCTATAGTGCCTGAACCTCTGCAATTATAGATAATTAGTGCACATACTACTAGGGCTGTATTTAAGATTTTGGCGTGGAGTGGCGCCCTTAAATTTTTCCAGAATCACCATTTGAATAATATTGATGAACAAAAAAATAAAAAAATCAATATTTTTTTCTCATTAATAAGCTTTCATTGAAGTTTTAAAATATATATAAATCACAATTACAAATATTAGAATAAAAAAAATATTTTTGATTGACTGCATATTGATATGCTTTTACTCCTGCAAACTACCTCCTAAAAACGGCCCTGCACATTATGTGTCAGTAAAGATTAGAATGAGTAAATTGTTAAACTATCTTAGATTGGACTTGCTTGAATTAAAATCCAGATACGCGCTTATAGTTCAAAGAACTATATTTAGTTGTTAGTCACATATAGCTACAGTTCGACTGTATATGCATCTAAATTACTTTAGAAATATACACAAGCAATTTGAACCTGCTTAATTTACCTTAGGGGAAATAATAAAATCCACCTTAATACACTTTTATTGTAATTGCAAATACTAAAAGTAACGCTTCGTGTGTCGGTGAGTTGGTATCAGGACTCGATATCGTTACGCTGTGGCAGTAGGTTTTCTCGTCTTCTATAGCAGAAGCAATGACTTTTAAAGAGAACGATGACCTAAAATTAAAAAAATCATACCAATTCTAGCATGACAATGAAACTATTTATAATAATAAAAAAAATTAAACAGTGTATTCGCTACTAAAAACACGTAGACATTACGTCACTTGTTTAGAGGGCTACAAAATAAAAAATTAGTGACTAATATCAATAAACGTAATGAGACATTAAACGTTTTTACCGGTTCATTATACTCATATCCTTTGTGGTAATGATTACACACATAATATATGTGGTAGCATTATTATTAATACCCAATTAAATATCTTAATACAGTTATTTACTTCTAGATTCATAAAATCAAACGTCTATAAGTATACACATAATTCAAGTACTAGGAAAGAATTTAGACCCCGTGGCATACTTTTTCCCACTACTGTGAATTTCGTTTTAAATAAACATTTGAACGCTCGTCTAGTACGCTACATAATAATAATAATACTATAAAAACCTGTCGTCAGTTACAAAATTTAGTACCTGTAACTATATTTTGTTCTGTAATAGACTATCAAGGAATCGAATGTGTTATTAGATTGACGTAATAATTTTGTATTTCTTTAGTTTAGTCATCCATATTCACAACAATAGAATCATTTTAATGACACCAACTCTATGTCTTACATTAAGAAAAATATTTAAAAAAATTCAACTAACAGGAGTGAAATTCAACTAAACTGGTTTTGAAATAAAAACCCAAAATTGAAAATTTTAATTTAAAATAAACGTAATTAGAGCGTTGCTTGAGTTACTCAATAACAAGATATAGTAATGACAGAAATATCTTACACTAAATCAAAAAGTTTGAATTCAAAATTTACTTTAATGCACGTGAGACCAAATTAAAATTTAATTTAATTTAAACCTAAAATCAAAGCTAACATTTTTTATAATAACTTTACAATATTAAAATACTTATGAAATGAGGTATCACATCTTTATGTGTCATCATAGAAACTATTTTATTTTATATATTTAATGCCGATGATATAATTGTTCATTAAATCTAATCTTAACAACTAAGTTATATATATGCAATAAGATTTTAAGTTAAAAAGAAAAATTAGTAGCATGAATAAGTATTAATTATTTTACTATAATAATTAATTATTTGTAGTTTAAGACTATTAGTTTGAGAATAAATTCAATTAAATAATGTTTCAGAAAAATGGCGTCACTTCAACGTCTATCTTTCGTTCAGTCCGTAAACAATATGTCTCACCAAAGACTCCAGGACAGTGATGAAAATTCTTCAGATGATGATGAAGGATCTCCTTTGACTCAAGACTTATATGGTGGAAGGTAAAAACTAAAATACATTTAAAAAAATTAATCGACTTATTTGTTTACATTTATTAATAATTGAATGTTATGTGTTTATTATAGTCAAAGAACTATTGCGGAAACTAAAGCCTGGGATGTTTTTCGAGATTTGCCACCACGTAGTGATAGTGGGTCCATGGCCAATCAAGCTTGTCTTGAATTCACTGTTAAAGTACTCAAAATTCTAGCCTACTTAATTACATTTGCAATAGTTTTATGTTGTGGGGTTATGGCAAAATCTAGTATGTTTTTTATGACTTCACAAATACGATCCGAACGAGTAGTAACATACTGTAACAAAGATCTAAGTAACTAAGTCATACAATTACATTTCATTAAAAATTCAATTTTATTTAATTATTGTTTACAATTATATAGGTCGTGATAAATTATATGTAGTTAATTTACCTACTGAAGAACGAGTAGTATGGATATGGTGTCTTTTGTTAGCATTTATTATTCCTGAATTAGGGACCTTGATCCGTTCCATCAGGATATGTTTCTTCAAGTCTTGTCGTAAACCTCCACTTAAAGATTTTGTTTTTGTTCTTGTAATGGAAACTTTACATGTTTTCGGAATGGTCCTCTTAGTATATGTAGTATTGCCTAGTTTAGATGTTATTAAAGGAGCCATGCTAACAAATTGTCTTTGTTTTGTACCCGCTTTACTTAGTAAGTTCTTCTATAATACTAAAAATCTTCACGTTATACAAATATTAATTAGACACAGAAAACTTGATGCAATAACTTTAATAATTTTGTAGGTTTATTATCTAGGACAACAAAAGGATGTAAAACTAATTCGGAAAAGTCTGAAGTTTATGCCAAAGTATTTATGGATTTAATTGCTGTTGGTTCTCAAGCCACTGGATTTTTTTTATGGCCTCTACTGCATCCAGAAAAACAGATGAATACATTTGTTATACCAATTACTGTGTTTTGTATTTCTTGTGGTTACTGGGAAAATTATACTACTAAACACACGCTATTTGGTAATTAAAATTTATTTAGGTAACTAAATTAGAAATGATTAATAATTCTCACACTTGATTTAGGTTTCATGAAATTCGCATACGTCATAAAAGATCGAATGAAAAGAACTCGATACTTTATATATATGTTAGTATCTGTGTGGAAAATGTTGTGTTTCTTATTTTTTATGATAGTAGTCATGTTCATTAAAGGCGAAAGCGTTACACAGTTATTTACATCTGTAAACGCTGGATTCTCAAGTCATAAGATACAAGTTTTAGAGGTGAATTATAATTTTATTTTATTTCTCCTGAATTCACTATCAATAATCACATGTTAATTTAGGTTAGTCAAGTAATTCGAAATGGAGCAACACTTCCGGATCTTTCAGATATTGTCACTAATGGAGATACAATTGATATTGATGCCAAGTATTTAACTGCTTTGCATGTTTTACTTATACAAATCGTATCAGCTTATCTATGTTATATATTTGGTATACCTCTTTTTTATTTAATAAGCTAACTAAAACTAAAAAAATTACTCTAATTGTAGGTAAATTTGCTTGTAAAATCATGATACAAGGATTCAGTTATGCGTTCCCAGTAAATTTAACTGTACCAGTAACTATGTCAGCCCTTATAATCGCTTGTGGATTACGTCATGATGATCCTTGTTTTTTTCACCAATCTATTCCTGATTATTTATTTTTTGATTCACCTGATGTAAATTTCTTAAACAATTTTATCACTAGAGAGGTAAATTGGTAGATAAAATAAATTAAAAAAGTTTCAGTACCAATCTCAATATTTCATTTCAGCACGTATGGGTTTGGCTATTGTGGCTTTTGTCTCAAACGTGGGTTACTTTGCACATATGGACACCAAAGTGTGAACGTTTGGCTACTACAGAGAAATTATTTGCTCGGCCAATGTATGACGCTTTACTAATTGACCAATCATTAGGGATGAACAGGAGATGTGACGACGAAAAAGACGTAAAAACTGAAGTAAATTTATTGTTTATATGAAACATAAAAAACAAAATGAAAACTATTTCATTATTTTACTTTTAGGATTTAGCCGACCGAGAAAAAGAACCAGATGAATACTACGAAACAATATCGGTACATACAGACGTAAGCAGTAACACACCAAAAACAGTAAAAAAATCTGACAGTATTACTAAAATATATGCCTGTGCAACTATGTGGCATGAAACTCACGAAGAAATGATGGAGATGTTAAAGTCCATACTCCGTATGGACGAAGATCAGTGTGCACGTCGAGTAGCACAAAAATATTTGCGCGTAGTGGATCCAGATTATTATGAATTTGAAAGTGAGTAACAAAAATATTTTGTATTCAATATTAAAATATTTATGTTAACCTATTTAAATTATTGTAATTAGCGCACATATTCTTGGATGATGGTTTCGAAATCAGTGATGAAAACGATGACTGGAGTCAAGTAAATAGATTCGTTAAGCTATTCGTGTCCACAATTGATGAAGCAGCCACTCATGTCCACGAAACAAATATACGTATTAAGCCCCCAACTAAAATTCCTACTCCATTTGGTGGTCAGTTGGTTTGGACATTACCAGGTAAGACTAAATTAACAGTACACATCAAAGACAAGTCCAAAATTCGTCACAGGAAACGGTGGAGTCAGGTTATGTACATGTACTACCTTCTTGGTCATCGATTAATGGAACTACCTATATCAGTTGAACGAAAAGAAGTAATTGCAGAAAATACATTTTTACTTACACTTGATGGCGATATTGATTTCCAACCACATGCCGTTCGACTTTTAGTCGATCTAATGAAAAAAAACAAAAACTTAGGAGCTGCTTGTGGTAGGATTCATCCTGTAGGCGCTGGTAAATAATTAGATGACTATAAATTTTATTGGAGACTCTTTAGTTTATTTAGAAATTATAATTAGGTCCATTGGCATGGTATCAAATATTTGAATATGCTATTGGCCATTGGCTTCAAAAAGCTACTGAACACATGATAGGTTGTGTCTTATGTAGTCCAGGATGTTTTTCACTATTTCGCGGTAAAGCTTTAATGGACGACAATGTAATGAAAAGATACACTATGAAGTCTGACGAAGCTAGACATTATGTACAATACGATCAAGGTAAAAAATACTACTTAAAATCCTAAACATACAAGATAATGAAATTATAACAAAATGTTAATTTGTAGGAGAGGATAGATGGTTATGTACATTATTACTACAAAGAGGATATCGAGTTGAGTATTCAGCTGCGAGTGATGCATATACTCACTGTCCCGAAAGTTTTAATGAATTTTACAATCAACGTCGTCGATGGGTTCCATCAACAATGGCTAATATTATGGATTTATTGATGGACTACAAAAAAACTATTAAAATCAATGACAATATATCAATGCCTTATATCACTTACCATGTACGTAAATATAAATATAACAAAAAATTTCTTACCTAAAGATGATTTATTTTTACAGATAATGTTGATGGGAGGAACTATATTAGGACCAGGCACAATATTTCTTATGTTGGTAGGAGCTTTTGTAGCAGTATTTCATATAGATAATTGGACGAGTTTCTATTACAACATTATTCCTATATTATTATTTGTTTTCGTATGTTTCACATGCAAATCAGAGTTCCAGGTAAAATCACAATTTTTACTTTTTATACATAAATTTAATATATAGAGTAATTGGTTTATCATAAACTTCTCGATTATTCTCAAAATATCATACAATATTGAAAAAAAAAATTTGCTTTTTATAATTACGCAAATTTCTTAATTTATCAGCTAATAATTATTTTTTAGAACTATCCCTTATGACTATAATTGATTAGCTTATAAAATAGACAATAATCTAATTAAAAAAATGGACAACTTTTGGACTAGTACTTAAAAAGTTATTCTCATTTTTATATCTAGGCTAAACGAAGAGTACGGTCAAGAAGTAACCGTACTTTTCTTGAAGCTTATACATATATGTTGCTATTTAAAAAAATTAAGTTAACATCCCTTTAAGTTATAAGGGATTATTCTAAACAGTAATTATTAGCTGATAAATCAAGAAATATACATGTACAAATATGTATAAAACTAAGAAGAAGCAAAATTTTTGTAATCAATATTGTATTTATTTTGTAACTCATCAAATGGTTTTGATAATCCTATTACTCTGTATATATACAAAATGTTCAGTAAGTAAGGAAACAAGTAAATTGTTAAAATGAGAATAATAGAAACCTGTTTCCTTATTTACTAAACAGCTATACAAACATATATATAGCGTGAGTATCGTTTTTTTTATTTTAACCATAAAAAATTCTCTGCAATTGAGACCAATCTGATAAAGTAAACACTGCCACGTGATAACGTTATCTGATAACTATAAAAAATATAGAGAATTACATATTCTATAAAAAATAGTTTTTAATTTTTTGTCTAACATCAATATTTAAGCTCAAAAAGAAAAATATAATACAAATTTAATACACTTTACACTTTGTTCAAATAATTTTATGAACTTTATAATCACCAAATGATATGTAAATGCATTTAGTGTATTTTTGGTAAAAATTAGTATGTATTAGTTTAATACAATTTCATCATTACTCGTGATAATTTTTTTCACAAAGTACATTAATTGTTTTAACAAAGTGTAAAATGTTTTTAATTAAATTTAATAGTTATTTATTGTCAAAAAAAACATTAAATAATAAATTGAAATGCATACCAAAAATGTTAATTAAGTTGCATTGAAAAAAAAAAGACTTTTTCGCAAAATTCGAGTTTTAAAACTTTTACCTATTTTTCTCAAGATATGAATATTAATATTAAATAAAAAATCAAAAACCATTTTTCGTAGAATTTGTAATATTTTTTACTCCAAACATTTTATATAATTTTAAAATTTAAATTATAAAAATTAGAATAATTATAGATTTTCGTAAAAAAAAAACAGTTAAATTTTATACTTTGAGCTTAAGTAACTACGCCCTATGCCACGTATTAACGTTATTGGATTTCTTTTTATCTTGCAGAGTTCATTTTTTTACTGGTTAGAATAAAGAAAGCCGGTTTTCGGAAGTAATTGAAAGTTTGCTCATTTTCTGGCACCCTAATTTATATATTTATTTTAAGTATGATATATAATTATCCAAAATATCCTATAAGTAATAATATTATTTATAGTTTATTTTAGATAAATATTTGTTTATTATCATTAATATTAGTTAATTAATTTTTTATAGTTGCTCTTAGCACAAATATTATCAGCTATGTATGCATTAGTTATGATGGCAGTTATCGTAGGTACAGCTTTACAATTAGGCGAAGACGGTATTGGTTCACCATCAGCTATTTTCTTGATAGCAATGTTGGGTTCATTTATTATAGCAGCAATACTGCATCCACAAGAGTTTTCTTGTATAATATTCTTCTCTATTTATTTGCTTTCTATTCCATCAATGTATCTACTTTTGATTTTGTATTCAATTATTAATTTGAATATCGTTACGTGGGGAACGAGAGAAGTCCAAGTCAAACGTACGAAAAAGGAAATCGAAGCAGAAAAAAAAGCAGCAGAAGAAGCAGAGAAAAAAAATAAACAAAAGTCTATGCTAGGATTTTTGCAAAATATGGATTCAAATGCCAACAACGAAGAAGGCTCATTTGAACTTTCATTTGCAGGACTTTTTAAATGTATGTTCTGTACATATCAGAAGCCAATTGATGACCGTCAGCAATTACTTAGAATAGCAGATTCATTAGAAGGACTTGGCAAAAGAATGGATTTTATAGAAAAGTATGTTTTACATTTTTAATAAAAAACCACAATAAATTTTTTAATAAAAATGTGATATTTAGAACAATTATTGATCCAAATGCTGTTAATCGCAAACGAAACGTTTCTACTAGTAGTGTACCACATCAAATCGCATTGAACCCCGTACAGGAAGAACCATCAGAAATTGATCATTCAGAAACCGAAACTGATGAGGAATCTTTGGGTATGCATTTATTTATAAAAATATTAAGAGAAGTTTGTACTTATCTATAACATTTCCAGAACCAAAAATAGAACGAAATGACGATATTAATCCATACTGGATTGAAGATAAAGCTCTGAAAAAAGGTCCTGTAACATATTTATCAGTGGCAGAGCAACAATTCTGGAGAGATTTAATCGACAAATATTTGTATCCTATTGACGAAGATAAAAACGAAAAAGCCAGAATTGCAGCTGATTTGATCGAACTCAGAAATAAGTCAGTATTTACATTTTTTATGATAAATGCACTTTTTGTACTCGTCGTATTTTTACTTCAATTAAACAAAGACAAATTACATTTGGATTGGCCATTGGGTGAAAGAACAAATACGACCATTATTCCTGAAACTTCTGATGTATGTATAAATCAATTTTATGACTTATAAGTACCTGGTGTCAGATAAAAGACGTAAAAATAAAATTTTTTTGCCTTTATTATATGATAAAAAAATTAGTATAAATGACTGATTTTTTTTTTTTTTTTTGATACCCTATTTAAATATTTCCTTAATATTATAATGCTTTAAAATTATTAATATATTTTAATTTGGTATTGACAGATTATCGTCACAAAAGAATACTTACATTTGGAACCAATCGGTTTAGTATTTGTATTTTTCTTTGCATTAATTATGGTTATTCAATTTACTGCTATGTTGTTTCACCGGTTTGGAACTTTATCACACATATTAGCTTCAACTGACTTAAACTTTTGCTGTAATAATAAGGTAAGAGTGCTAAATATAATTTTTCATTGTCTTATAAAAAATACCCACCTCTCCAAAAAAAAAACACTCATTATAAAATTGATACCTTCTCATTGTTAATTTTGCATCAAAGTAAGAAATTTTAATAAAATCTAATAAAAGCTGGCTTTTATTGTTAGAAATACATGTTCTCTGTGTCCACCAAGACTAGGCAAGTTAATTGATTTTTTTAAACTAGTTAAAAGTAAGCTTAAGTTGGAAAGACCATATTTATAAGATTATAAAAATTATATAAATAACACCACCACAAACAAAGCAATAATTTTAAGATTTTTTTTTTTATTACTATCACATTTATATAACGAGCATTAAGTCGACAAGTTTGTATGACACCCTCCAAATTAAGATTTTTAGCCTGTAAAAATTTTAATATATATATATACAGAATAAAACAGACCTAACCAAGAACAATTATAACTTAAGTAAAATCTATAAAAAATTTTTGGAAGAAAGCTATAAAAATTATTTTAAAATTTTGAAAAAATTTTTTTTTTTAATTTTATTAAAAAAAAATAATAATAAATGTACTTATAACCTAGTCTAAGAATAAAAAAATTATTTTATAAAAATACAACGAAATAATTATCAAAATATACAATACATAACAGTTAAGTCTGTTCCACCTTATACATATTTATTATATAAATTTATTTACAGTATAGTTTTTAATAGTTACTACTTTTTTTTAAGATTAATTATTATTTATGGTTTGTTTTTTTAAGGGTACTACTATATTAAATTTTACTGGTACCACGTATTGGTAAATTTGGGTCTACTTCTATGCAGTTATAAATTATATAATTTTTTAATAAAAAAATATTAAAGACTCAAGTCTTCTCTGATTATAGAAGATAAATTAACAAAATATATTTTTTTTTAATTTAAATCACATTGCATACGCATTAGTTCAATAATTCTTTAGAGGGGTCAGAAATGACGACACTTAATACTTGTCCTAAAATTACTATAGCCCCTTGTCTGTAATAATTTTGTAAAAGTAATGATTTTAATAAAGTAAAAAAAAAAAAATTTAAGTTTTCCTATTAAACTCAAATAATAAAAAAATTATTTTAATGCAGTTTAAGAATGCAAAAATTGTTCAAAAAAATAAATACAGCGAAATGATAAATTTATCATAATTTATAAGAGTTATCAGCTCTACTCTGTATAACTTTATCGACACCTTGTTTTCTAATAAAAATTAGTATTTTATTCTAAAAAATGTTTGAAATTTGTTTACATCAAGGCTGAAGATTTGACACAAGATGGTCTTCTTGACAAACAAGCAGTAGTTATAGTAAAACATCTTCAGCGCTTAAAAGGTATTAATGGTGATTATGATAATGATTCTGGATCAAGTGGAGGAAATGTGGGACGTCGACGTACCATTTATAATTTAGAGAAACAACGACAAAAAACTCGCACAATCGGTACACTGGACGTAGCGTTCCGAAAAAGGTTCTTACAGATGAAAATGGGAGAAGATGAAGATGAGCCACAAGGTAATAAGAAACTTAATGTTTTATTTATTTCAACAATGCATTAAATTTTTTTATCACGGCGTATAAGATCAGCTTAGGTAATTATAAACAAATTTTACAGAAAAATTAAATTCTGACGGTTATCAACAGCCCACAAATCCGTGTAAAACCGCTGTAAACTATTGTTTCACTCCTATACTTCACTATGTCATAGTTTTTCAATTTTTTTATTGTAATCAGATATCTCAACATGTCTGTTAATAATTTCCCCTTATATTCATAATCTATGGATTAATTATTAACATTAATACTAGTGCTGTATTAATTATTCAATAATTTTTGTAAAAATAAAAAATTATTAGTTCGTAGTCTGTCAAATAAGGACTGAAGATTAAAATCGTGAAAAGATTAAGTGCTACAAAACTTTTGATAATAACTGCTCATAATTATCTCTATCCAAAAAAGTTTAGAAAATTATGATCTATCTTTTGCGTGTCTATGAGAATTAGTTGTATCAAAAATGCAATATCATCCTGTTAGAATAATAATAGCTGAATATGAATTGAAAGTAACGACTTACCTTAACCTTGTATCTGATTGAAAAAAGAATTCTTACTGAATATACAAGGTGATTGATTAACTATGCCTCACAATTGATCTCTGAAAATATAAGTTATCTTTTTTTTCTTTATGAAATATTATGTTTCTATTTTGGGCTGCTCAGTGAGTAAAATTATATTTTTATGACCGTCCCTTTTGCTTTAAATCAGTATTAACTTTCAATTTTCAAATGGTAACCCTATTTTATTATATAATCAGATTAGATTTAGTTTTAAAAAATATTTTTTCTATTTTATTCAATTATCAGCGAGATATGATTCATGAAAGTTTAGAGGACGTGAGTATTACTCACGTTGATTTATAAAAGACTCTAATTTTACGTCACGGTACAATAAACTGATTGTTCTTATCTATCACTAAATATTAATGTTACTGTATTTACCCGACTACTGTTTTATTTGATAAATCCCCTAAACTTTATATAGTGATATCTCGTTAAGAATTTTTTTTTCTGCTAAACAAGATTAATAAAAGAAAACTAAAGTTGATATAGATTTGAGGGTTAAGGGATGAAGATGGAATCTTTATTTTTCTTGGCAAGTAGCTCAACAAAGAGTTATAACAAATAAAATAATTACATTTATGATAACACTAATATTTTTAAAGAAAATTCGTGAGGCATAGTTAATTAATTATCCCGTATTGAATACCCGTTTTTCAACTGAAAGAGATAAGAAATTTAATAAGCACTATAAAATAGATATCAATGATGCAAAAATTGGCGGGAACTTAATCTTTTAATCGAAGTGTAAACTTTCAATTTTTACTCCTTTTTGGTTTCTCAAATGCTCACGCAAAAGCGATGACGTTTGTTCTGAATTAACTCGTGTTCATAATTATTTCGACGACCCTAACCAGAATGTTGTATTTAAATAATAAAATTCTAATTGACTCTTTTTAGGTACACCGGTATTGGGTAGAAAACTGACAATGGGCAAAGAAGTACGTCAGGCTCTAGAAGTCAGAAGGCGTTCAATGCAAGCAGAAAGAAGAAAATCACAAATGCAAACACTAGGCGCTAATAATGCATTTAACCAAACACAGAGACAGTCAAATGCTGGCATCAGTGTCAAAGATATATTTAAAGGGAGTCAAAATCCTGCTTATGAACATGATGAAGATGAATTACAATTGCATACTATTAACTAATCAAAAACTTAGTTTCTAATTTAAAATTAGTCACCAAGTGTTCTAGTCAACAGAATATTTCTTTTTTAAATTTTGTATCTATGCCATCATTATTATTTATTTTTTAATATGAAATATTGATTAAAGTCTCGTAATCTTATGTTTTTTACTTGAATTTTTCATTAAAAGAATGTCAATTGTCTTTCTTAATACATAGTTGAAATATAATTTTACTCAATTAGATACAAAAATTTTACATATCTTTTACAAAAATAAATGTTAATATTTTATATTTACAACATAAAAACTACATGAGTAATTTCAATATTTTAGTTGGAATTATTGCAAATATTTCCATAATCATATTTAGAACAAATTACGGGTGTTCTAAAATGAGGTATTTTCACAGACCTTTGGGCCAATGCCCTTAGGTGGGATCAAACATCACATGAGATATGTACACGTACATTAAGATTAAATGTTAATTTTTCTTTTAGTAAACTATTTATTAAATTATCTTTGTTTTTTTATATTGAAGTCATTCAAACAATACATTCAATAATATTAAATAAAAATATTTAAAAATAAATTTTAAACAACGATAACACTAAATCATGAAAATATTGTAGTATTTACTCTAGTAATGCGTGAAAAACTAAACATCGTACGTTAAATCAGTATTTATTGGCTTAAACAGTCTCTTATGTTTTTTTAGAGCCTATTAATATCCTATTCACTTTAATTAACAAGAAAAAAATAGTTGTATTCTCTTACCCTCTTAAAATTGTACCAACTTACGTTTTTTTAAATGGTAACATAGATATTTAATTGGCTTAAGAATAAAAAAATAATCTAACCAAGAAAATGACTGATGGATAGCAACTTTTGAATCTGTATTTCGAAGATTTTTAACATTTAAAAATAAAAGAGGAGGTGAAGCACGGGTCTGTTTATTTTTATCTCTAAACATTTCTGAACCGCTCTTTTACTCCCGCCAAAATGTAAAAATACTTATATCTTCTAAATTAATAGTTTTATCATAAAAAGTATACAAGAAAAAAACCTTATTGCTACTAATATGCTGTCTAAATTTCATTTTCTTATATTTTTAAAGATTTTCGTGAAACGATATTACCGGACACTTAGTATACAAAATGATCCAAATTTGGATAAATACTATTTTTTACAAATACTAAAAATTTAAAATTTTTGTAAAGAGAATTACACACATATAAGGTTTACAAATTATACAATTAAATATTTTTTTTTTCATCTCTTCAGAAATAAAAGTCCTTAACTAAAATGTTATTAAAAAACAATTTATATTTTTAACTCTATAATATGACAGAAAAAAATTACAAACAATTTTGTTCTTAAAGTTTTTTATCCGCGATAAAAAATACATTAATTTTAATGTATTCATTTTAAAAATTTAATAAACGTAATTATACGCACTTGTTAAAAATTGACTGCAGCTTCGCTGCAGTTGCGACGTGATTGAATAAGCTCACAGGTTTACCAACGTTGTGGAGGGTACAAATCTATTATTTAAGGTATCGGGAGCGTCCACTGAGGTCTATTTTTTATTTATTGTTTTATTAGATATACGGTCAAAATTAATATGTTGTTTATTAAATACAATAAAACTTCTACTTGACACGGATATTTATACGTATATTATAAATAATAATACAAATTATATTAAACAAAATCATTGGGTGTTACCAGTACGCTTAGATGAAGTGAAACTTCTTTCAGGCTAAGTATATCAAGACTGTCAAGTTCTGTTCTTCTCCAGATAAGCATTACTACCTCTTCTTTGTTTGGATTAACAGCTAGGCTGTATTTACTACGCCACATGTGTATAGTGTTTGGTCTCTGCTGTGCGAAGTCTATAATTTTGTCAGAGAATTTAACCACTACTACTATAGCTAAGTCATCCGCATAGGTTTGTGTATAACAATATTTATTTAACTTGTTAATAAGCGAGTTTAAAACTAGACACTATAACAGGGAGATAGAACTCCTCCTAGTGGGCATCCCTGTTTACAACTCTTGATCATTTTGGTTTCATTGAGTTGTCCCAAAATGGAGCGTTTCTTAAGCATGGTTTTTATCCACTTAATAATAAGTGGTTCTATTCCGTGCTGTTATGCATATTCACACATTGTATTAAAGAGTGTATTATCAAAAGCCCTTTCCAATGTCCAGGAATATGCCTATTGCTTACATTTTATTCTTTATGGCTTTCCACACTTTAGTGGTTAAATTATATAGTGCTGTGTCAGAAGATTATCCTGTTTGGTACGCATGTTAGTTTTTATATAGAGGAATCTACTTTAGGGTTCTATTTTATATACCTATCAATAATTTTCTCCATAGTTTAAAGTCTAATAGTCTTTTGCCAGTTCTCGGATTGATAATCGTAGACTAGGCATGCTCTAAATGTATTGCAGAAATGGGGGACGGTTAGATCTAGCCCCTCTTGTAGAAGTACAGGAAACATTTCGTCACAGCCTGCAGCTTTAGAACTGCTGAAAGCATTTATTACCAATCTTGTCCCACTTGGAATTACTTTCTTCGTTAGCTGGCACTCAGCACAATTCATATGTTTGTTCCGTACTTCAGCTGTTGTAAATTTTAAAGCCAGAAAAGTGTACGTTCAACAAATGTCTCGTTATCATTGTGAACGTATTGTCTGGCAATAGTATTGCTTCGAAGATTTTGTTCAGTTTATTTATTAGTGAGTGTAGAAGTCTAGTAGCTGTGGGTAATTGTTGTAATTCCACACAGAACTATTTCCAGCTCTCTTTTTTAAACTTTTTCGATGCAAATTTGTATTGTCCTTAAGAACCCCTATGTTCCTAATGTTGTTTCAAATCTAATTTCATTGCTTTATTTAAGAGTTAACGAGAACTTTTTCTTAATCTTGTCAGGTTAGCGTTCCACCAAGCTACACCCTGTCTTTCCTTCCTTTCTTTCAAAGGACAGTACTACTTGTATGCTGTAACAATGTAATTCTGAAGGTCAGTTACGACCCTTTCAGGCTTTGTACCGACATTAATCTAAACTATAGGTTTTCTAGGATATGAGAAAGATCTATAGTTATCCCAGTTTATCCTTTTAGGGTTCCTATAGTGCTCCATTTATTTTCAAAGTGAAGTGTATGTGCCTATGATCAGAAAGGGACACTTTTCACCCTTCTATCTTCTGGATCAACATTTTTAAGCAAACTGTAAGATCAATGACTTCTTGCCTGTTTCTTATTATTAAAGTAGGCTAATTACCTCTATTCAGTATACTTAGGTCTGTAGTCATAATTATATCCATTAGTGCCTCACCTCTTGTATTAACGTTACTGCTCCTCCATATAGTATGATGAACATTTGTATCCATACTAAATAAAAGTTCTAACTTTTCTATATTACAATAATTGTAGTACTATTAGGTCCTTGTCTGGGTCTGAGAACTCATATGGTAGGTATCCTGAGACTACTATAATTGTTTTACCATCACTTAATGTTATCATAATAGTAACAAGCTGGTTTTTATTTTATCATTACCCAAAATACAAAACCTTAGTTTGTCTGACTGTTTGTAAAACAGTTTAAAGCCCTTAATATGTTAACCATGTAGCCATAGTTCTTGAACAAGAGCTATTTGTAAGGGTGATACTATTAACTTTCCAGAAGTTAATAGTATCCTAAATTCTAATTGAAAAAACAATAATATAAATTCAATATTAATAAATACATACAATTATTAATACTTATATTTTGTGGTAATAAATTTAAAAAATACAGTGAAAAATATAATCATTAAAGTAAAATTTTTTACTAAAAATCAAAAGCAGCGGGTAAACCAGCTTTTCTATTAATGAAATGTTGAGCATGTTTCTCAGGAGACAAATAATAACTTGCAACTGCTTCATCTGTAATCATTGCATTTCTCCATTCAGCCTAAAATAAACAATTTATAAAATTATTATAACCTTCTAAGATTGGTTAGAAAATATTTGACATCCTTACAAGTTTGGGAAATTTATCAAATGGAAAAATAAACAAATTTTTTGAAAAAATTCCAATACAGTCAATACGCTCAAACCATGGCCAAATCATATAATCTACCATCTTCGGACTTTCACCTATTCAAAAAGTAATTTACAATGATAACTTAACTAAACATGAAAATCAATACAGGTTATTCATTATTTTATTTCATTGTCTCATGTGGCAAAACAACACAATTCTTATTTAAACAACTTTTTTATTTTTATGTTAACATATATTTCATACATTTCAAAATAAATATTTTAAATATTTTTGGAACATTAAAAACTACTTCAACTGTTAGCTTCGTGGTATAAGGATATTTGACCTATCTTTCAAAAAATTTTAAATAATATATGGACCTATGTGGTTTTGCCATGGATACTAAAATGTGTTATATTTAACTAAATTATTATTGATTATTTAATATTAAAAATTCTAAAAGAAATTTTAGAAAAAATATATGACTCTTATTATTATCTTGAAAAACAAAAAGTTAGATACACAAGAAGTCTACAAATTGAATTAAAGTAATATATTATATACCTCCAAAATATTTTGTAGATCTTATTTTTAATTCAGATTCAATAAGTTTTATATATTCTACAAGCTCATCAAAATTATTTTTCTCTAATTTTGATCCAGTCATCATAAACTTGTAAAAGCTTGATGCAACCTAAAATAAATATTATGCATATATATATTTTAGTATTAAGTATTAAAAGACTTAAAATTATTATTCAATTTAAATAATGTATGAAAACATAAAAAATTATTTAGTTTTTAAAGTATAAAATATGTATGGTGAAAATGTTCAAAATAAGTACATTAATAAAGGGGACTAAACGATTAAATACCCTTCTATTTGACTAACACTTATCATTAAAAATATTTCAATATAACTATACATGTTCAATAAGAAATATAAGAAAATATTTTTTATCTTTTTTTTTTTTAAATAAGATAATCTAATTGCACAATTTGGAGTTAATAAATTTAATTTTGCAAATAGATGGTTGTTAAATTTTAAATCAATAACATCAATTAAACATTTAAAAGTAAAATTTGATTAGCATTAAATGTTTCTCGATTATAATTTGTGTTGGTTTTTTGTAGTTATTCAAATTTTTGTAGAAAATTACAAAATTAAAAATCTTAATTATTTAATAATATAATAATATTATAGTACCTTTCCAAAGGATTCAATGAATATCTTATCTAATATCTTTTGTAATGGACTATTTGACCATAATGGTATTTGAGTGTGTTGTTCATCTAAAAAGTCAGCTAAAAGTAAACTTTCTGATAAAAATTTTCCTTCGTAAGTTAATGCTGGCACTTTACCAGCAGGAAACATTTTCAAATACCATTCTGGTTTTTCAGTAAGATTTATAAAAACTGGATCATGTCTAAAATTATTATTTCTTATAATTGAATTTTACAATAGTTAATATTCAATCAATGCATATAATGTATAATCTGTCATTATATTTTATTTTAAGTATAAAGTTTTTATGATGCATTTTAAAAAGTAATAACAAAACATAAATTTTCTAGTTTTTGAAAAATTATTAAATTTATTCTATAACAATAAAATATAATTAAAAAAACCCAGCACAAGGGGGTTACGGCACAGTGGTGACATGGCATAGTTGGATCAAGTATAATGATATCTGACAATGATTAAAATCACTATCAAAAAAAAAAACGCTTCGATGCAAATCTTTAGATAGTGTTTAATTTTAAAAAATTGGTGGATTATTCCAAAAGCTACATAATCTGCTAGTTCCTTATTAATATCCTGATTAAGATAAAGTATGTCGAATGAAAAAGGGATTATTAAAAAATATTATTTCTCATAAAAAAATTATGTTGATCCATACACTTTTCAATAAGTTATAATATTATAAAGTTAAAAATATAAAAAATAATTTTTTTACAAAAATCGTTTTTTTTTTATTAACTTTGATGTCTGTTTTCACCATGAAGATAAAATAAAGTCCGAAATTTTTTTTTACCATTATAAAGTATATTACATTAGCTTTAATTTAAGATATATATAAAAGTGTCAGACTTTCCGGAACACTTTCAAAAGTTAAGTTGAAAAAGTTCTACTTTCTACATGCATTTTTTAGATTTGAACCCCCCTCGTATAAAGGGAAATGGTCCGATTTAAAAAAACAGTATGTCGAATGAAAGATCTATATAAATACTACTTCTCATAAAAAANGAATGAAAGATGTATATAAATACAACTTCTCATGAAAAAATTGTATTAATCCATACATTTTTCAAAATGTTATAGCATAATAAAATTAAAAATGTAAAATACAAAATCGAAAATTTTCACACAAAAATAGCATTCAGTAGCCATTTTCACCGTGAAGATAAAATAAAGTCCGAAATTTTTTTTTTCCATGTTAAAGTATATTACATTAGCTTTAATTTAAGATATATATAAAAGTGTCAGACTTTCCGAAACATTTTCAAAAGTCAAGTTGAAAAAATTAATTTTTTGTAAAAAAGTTGTCATTTTAAATCCTCCCCTGTGGGCAGGTAAAGGTCAGATATGAAAAAAAAATATACCAAATGAAAGGTAATGATATCATACATCTATATAAAAAAAATTATATTGATTTGATTAAAAAAGTTATGGCAATTTTAAGTAAAAAAAATTGAAAAAATTTCCAAAATTAGCAATTTTTAAATTTGTAATTTTTTTGGAGGTTTCCCCCATTTACGAAGAACCAGGGAATTTTTTTCAATTTTTGAGGATAATGTCTTCAACTAGATACGATTTGTGATCTTTTGACGTATCATTGAAAGAAATCGGTTCGGTGAGAGTTGAGAAAAAGTGGTAACAGACACAAAAAAAAAATAAACACATCTTAGTAAAACCAATATCTTCTCAGCTTCGCATCGAAGCTAAAACTAATTATAAATATAGAAAATATACTAATTTAGATTGAAATTTTTATTATTAATTTCTTAATAAAAATTATAGCTAAAAATAAAAATAAAGCTTTGATTTATCATTTAAAAAGNGAATAAAAATAAAGCTTTAGATTTGAACCCCCCTCGTATATAGGGAAATGGTTCAATTTAAAAAATCAGTATGTCGAATGAAAGATGTATATAAATACAACTTCTCATGAAAAAATTGTATTAATCCATACATTTTTCAAAATGTTATAGCATAATAAAATTAAAAATGTAAAATACAAAATCGAAAATTTTCACACAAAAATAGCATTCAGTAGCCATTTTCACCGTGAAGATAAAATAAAGTCCGAAATTTTTTTTTTCCATTATAAAGTATATTACATTAGCTTTAATTTAAGATATATATAAAAGTGTCAGACTTTCCGAAACATTTTCAAAAGTCAAGTTGAAAAAATTAATTTTTTGTAAAAAAGTTGTCATTTTAAATCCTCCCCTGTGGGCAGGTAAAGGTCAGATATGAAAAAAAAATATACCAAATGAAAGGTAATGATATCATACATCTATATAAAAAAAATTATATTGATTTGATTAAAAAAGTTATGGCAATTTTAAGTAAAATAAATTGAAAAAATTTCGAAAATTAGCAATTTTTAAATTTGTAATTTTTTTGGAGGTTTCCCCCATTTACGAAGAACTAGGGAATTTTTTTCAATTTTTGAGGATAATGTCTTCAACTAGATACGATTTGTGATCTTTTGACGTATCATTGAAAGAAATCGGTTCGGTGAGAGTTGAGAAAAAGTGGTAACAGACACAAAAAAAAAATAAACACATCTTAGTAAAACCAATATCTTCTCAGCTTCGCATCGAAGCTAAAACTAATTATAAATATAGAAAATATACTAATTTAGATTGAAATTTTTATTATTAATTTCTTAATAAAAATTATAGCTAAAAATAAAAATAAAGCTTTGATTTATCATTTAAAAAGATAAACATTTGTTTTCAATTTTTTTGATAAGATTTCATTACAATATATTTTTAATATAGTTTAAAACTAAATCTAAAAACAAGAAACTTACGGTATTTTTTTAGCATTCAATACCAACTGAACTCTTTGAGCATAAGGACAGTAACGCATAGTGTAAAACTGGTATTTACCAGGTATCAACTTTGGTTCAATAGAATCTAAAAATAATAAATATTATTGTTTATGCTTTATTATTATAGTTAACTTTTATCAACTTCTCATCAACTCCATGTTATTTAACTTATTTACTTTAAGTATTTTTTATAAGAAAAAAGAAACTGGTCTAGAAATTTAAACTAAATTATAGCCAAATTATTAAATTAGAAGAAGATCAAAAAATAGATGGGTGTATATGATGTGGGAGATCGTATCTAGTGGAAATTTAGGATAATGGTGGCCAAACCCAAGTAGTTGGGATTAAGGCGAGGAAAAAGAAGAAGATTGAAAATAGATACCAATATAATTTTTGTATAAATATATTGAACAGTATTCTCATCACGATATTTATTTATTTCCTTGTAATAAATTTTGTGATTATCATTATTATTTACTGTTTTGCTTATTAAAAGATTGTAAAATTCTTTATAATAAGAAAAAAACAAATTTAAAATAAAGCTAAATTTATGAAATTATTTTTTCATTATCCTATTCCAAATAATATAAAAATAAAATATTTTTTTTAAGGTTTAATTTATTTGCCTTTAGAGACCATGAGATTGTGGGCTACCTATTGATGACCACTGTTAAATTAAAATATTGACATAAGTTTATCATTCTTTTTTCATAAGTTAAAAATCAGTAAATCTTAGTATATAAACAAATAAAAAAAAAAATTAAATATTGAAAAATTAACCAATATTGTATAGTATCCTAGCTTAATATTTTATATTCATTGAATTAAAAAAGATTAATTAAAAGAAATATTATTTAAAATGTTCGACTTTCTAAGCAGTACCTAATGCTAAATGATGTTCGGTCTAACAATTATCATTGTATTTTTTTGTGAGACTCAGTTTTATTGAGTGTTGTGTAAATAAAATAATCCCTATAAATTATTAAAGCGTGTATAATTCAAATTTGTTTTTTGATCATCTTGAAAATCTTTAAAAACTAGATACGCAATGTTGCAGTATAAACGACGATATAAATAATAAAAACAATAAACATTACCTTTTCCTAAGTGCTTTACCATTTTAATAAATACAGAAGCCACTGTTCCACACAATCAAGAAATAAAAGAAACTAATACAATTATTTAGTGAAGTAGATTATGAAGTAGATTATGCGATGCTTAATTAAGCATGCTTAATAATAACATTACTATATGAACGTAGTCTGTAATGATAAAATAGTTACTATTATCAGATAATAAACAATTTATCTGTTCGAACTGGTATAATATGGAAATATTCATATTCATGTTGTGATTATTAAGTATTTCTTTAGGAAGTTCAAAGTTTTTTTAACTTTAATTATGCTTAATAAATTATTTTTTTTGTGATCGTTATTTTATAAATATTATTTAAAAAATATATGAAGCCTCATGATCTATATACATTTTTTACACCAATAAAATTATAGTAGGTACAACATAGTTTTCGTCTGTTGTAGTACAGTTTATTAAATAGGCAATGACTAATAATTTCCGTCTTGAAGATGCAATTTTAAATGTAAGCATTTAGTAGTTTTTATCATCATAATTTATGCTTAGACATATATTTATTTAAATTTGTAACTTAAGAAGTTAATTAAAGTGAAAAAATTTAATTAATAAAAAGTTATACTAAAATACTTAGACACACAGCCATTGGGGATTGATCAAAAGTATATTGGTAAACATTTAAAAATAGAGATGCAGTGCATAATTAGATCCTAGACGTAAAATCAAAACTTACCACTAGGCCACTGTTTACTTATATTTTATATTTCTATAGGTATAGTGTGTTATATTTTTAAAAGATAATTTATGCATTCTTAGATAATGTTGGAATCATATTTTTATAATGTTTTTAATAATAAAACAGATAAAAAAAATTATATTAAGTTATAGCACTAATTATTATAATATTTAATATTAAACATTTACTATTATAATAGTTATAATTTACTAAGTTTTCATTCTAATTTCAAAGAAACTATTTTTATAATTGATTATTTTAACATTTATTAACTTTAAACATTAAGTAATAATTAATAATAGCCATTATTATTATTTTCTTTTAATTCAATAATTTTATTTAATAGTGTAAACATACTTTTGAAAGTATTCTATGTGCTTCAACAACCATAGATTTAAAAAAATCTATACTAGAAAGAATTCTCAATATACTTCAAGAGTATATTCTTAGAATTAGTGAAAATGATATAAATGAAAATCTAGATAAACCATATATTCAAAATTCAACAAAAAAGTAATTATTTTCTATAAAACGTATTAAAATATGTTTAATTAATCAGATTTTTGAATGGTATATTATACTTCTTAACAAAAATGTCTAAAAAATTGAATATTGTATGAGTTGTTACCAAAGCTTGGAACTAAGCATTTATAAAATTTGTTTGAACCACTTTTGAGACATCCTTTCCCCGTGAAAAATATTCTTGTGGCACTGTTTACAATAAGGAATATTTTTCATTTTGAATCAAATATTAGTTTCTTAATCAGATCTGTTCTAAATACCACCATGCTTATTATCACATATTCTAAGAGTTTCACTCATTTAAATGAAAAATTTTACTTTTTACTTATTATAACAATTTGATATTTTGATAGTATTGAAAAAAACTTAATTTGATTTTTATGTTTATTGTATAATGAAGTTTTTATGAACTCATTTCTAACTATATTTTTGTTCAGCATCTTTGAAAATGTTGAGTTGTGTCATAACCAAATTCCTGATGAACTTTCTAATAATAAATCATTAAATTATATATGTTGCAAGGAAAAAATTACTAGTGAGTATTTGCAAAATTATATATATATATATATTATACAAAATGATTAAATTAATCAAAAACAAAAATAATATTGATAAATTTTTTATTTGTTTCTTTTAGGTCCATGTTTTCTCAATTTATCAATCATTAAGTATTTTTTATGTTCATTCCCTTATATTTAAAGGGTACCAACTTAAATTTTTTTTAAATGGCAACATACATTATTAACTAGTTTATTTATTAGATAATGATCTACCTCTAAAAAAATAACTATTTGCTAACAACTTTTAGATGAGTAATGTGGAAGTTATTTGCATTTAAAAATATTAACTGTATGTGAGACCCCTGTGTTATTATTTTTATCACTAGACATAATTGGGCTTCACTTCTTTCACCTAGGTATAAAAATATTAATAACCCCCAAAATACTGGTCTAAAATTTATTATGAATCAGTTTTTTTCTTAATTGGATCATTATCTAATAATAACATTAGTTAATTTGTATGATCATTTGAAAAAACTATTAAACAAATTAATAGTATTTTAAATTTTTCAACTAATTATGTGGTTCATAATAAAAAAATCACTCTGTATATATAAGTAATTTTCATTATTATTTATTTATATAGTGTAAGACTTCATGTTGACAACTATTATAAATGTTGATATAATTAAAATTACAGCTAGAATTCATTGATTTATTTAATTTTTATATTCTATGGAAGCTAAGCAAATAAAATAAAGAAAATAAAATTTTCAATTTTTTAAAAAGTTGTCACTTAAAAATATTAGAGGTCTTCTGGCAAGTAATGTTTCTTGAGTATGACATAGATATCATACTGTATGTATACAAATGGTCCACAATCATTTGACTAAACTAATAACTTTTGATCTAGTAAATAATTTATATTCAATTTTATATATCTATTTTATGTAATAAAATGCTTGTAACTCAATAGGTACTTGTCCTAAAATTTTTATTGAACCATCACAATTTTTATAAAAATATATAATAAAACATATAACTTTAACATAGTCTAAAAATGCATAATTTATTTTTTTTAAAAGTAACACAAAATATTTAGTAAATCAAAAGTTAGCAGATTTGTCAAAACATTGTGAACATCTATATATATATATATATTGATAGTGAGTTAAGATACGAAATAAACATAAGGAAAAGTGTTCCTTTTGTACAGCAAACTTTTTAAAAAATAATAAATTACCTTGTATTAAGTATATTTAAGATTTTTTTATCTTTTCAAAAATTAACTTTTTACATAACAATTATGATTATATTGTTGGCCTAATATTAATTTTCTTAAATTTATAAGCTATACACAAAAATGATGTTTATAAATGCTCAACTTGCAAATATCAAACTTTTCGAAAAGGTGATTTAAAAAAACATTTAAAACGTCATATGGAAACAAGTAACTATTTTTGTAATTATTGTACTCGAACGTTTTTTGACAAGTATAATTTAGAAAGACATATAAATGCGAATCACACTAAGCAGCAAAAATATTCTTGTTTATTGGTAATAACTTTTAAATACCAATTTCATTTCTCTCTTTATATATTAAAATTATTTTGTTAATTTTAAACATTTTATAGTGTGCCTATACAACTTATCTGTACGATTCTATGAAAAGACATGAAAAAATAAAACACAGTACTAATCCTAAGCAACAATTTATATGTTCTGTTTGTCTTCATGTTAGTGCCACCAGACAAGATATGAATATTCATTCTTACATACATGACCAAACTAAGCCATTTATGTAAGTATAAAATAATTTTAAAAAAATTTTATTTAATTAATTAGTGAAGAATATTCTTTGAGTATGAAAATTTCCTCCAATAGTTATACTTTCAGAATTGTTTAGCATGACCATTTATTGATCTATTTAAGAAAAATTTCCATATAGTATTTTGGAATAAAAAATGTATACAATATATACCTTAAATTATTATTTACTTAACTTAGAAGCAACACACTACGGTTGCAATGTCCTGTGATTTTTGCTTATGTGAATTGATTGAAAATGACAAAGCTGTCAAACTATGATATGGAATGATTTAATAACATACAACATAGTAGATACAGCGCAAGTGGTATTGTGACAAATGTCATTTTCATATGCATGTTGCTAATAAATGCTAAAACCAGACAAATTGTTCAGAACAGTTGCAACTGTCTTAGTGTGTCGTTGCTTTTAAGGATAGCTAATAAAAATAGAAAAATTATGTTTTAAAATAGGTGTGAAGAATGTGGTTCTATGTTTGCTATTAGAAGTCGACTAAAAACTCACCAGAACACTGTTCATAAAGAGCGTAAACATGTATGTTTTTTGTGTAAAAAATCATTTCAATCAATGTCATTATTAAAACGTCATACAGTGATTCATTCTCGTTTTAAACCCTACTCTTGTCCTTATTGTAGCCATACTTCTAACAATCAAAGTAATTTAACAAAACATGTACGTAACATTCATTCAAAAACAAATTTTTCTTATCATAAGTAAGTAATTTTTTACAATATTTAATTATGAAAACATGGTAAAACTGATATTTAATTTTAGATTTATCAATGGAAAATAATTTTGAAATTTATTTATCATATAATAGAATTAAAATCAATTTAAAAATAAACTAGATAAATCTCCTTTCTAAGAAGAAAATGTGTATTATTGAAAAAATTTTGATATCATATCAAGGTATTAATTTAAATTTTTTATTTTGTCTTGTAATTAATTTATATTTTTATACATTATTAACTTAATAATAAATTCTTCTAATACTGAAACCAAAAAAGTATCAAATTATTTTTATCAAATGTCACAAATTTCCCAATTAAGAATGTGTATGTAACACACCTAATTTTTTTAAATGAATATGATACATTTAGAAAAAGATCTTGAGCAAAAAAATAAAAATCTACAGTATATGTGGAATTAAACGAAAGTAGTGAGTTTATTTTTATAATTTTTAAGCATATTGGTTTAAAATATTTTATCCTATAAGAACTAGTATAAATTTAGATTTCTAAAATGAAATATTATGGCCCTTATAATTAAATTTTATTGCAGTTTTTGTTAAAAAGGTTGTTTGAAATTTTTATCTTCTGTTCAAGATGAAGAGATTTCAATACTTCCCTCTCAGAACATTTTTTAAAAATGCCTCTTAATATAATTTATGATTTAATATTAGGTTTCTCACATTGTTCTCACTATTTGCAATAAGAAAAGTATGTGGATTTGTCTAAAAATCATGGGACACACACACACATATATATACATAGTGATATTTTTAGCACAAGTCACTTGATTTCACTTAAAATAAAAATTATGTTAAGAAAATATTTTATATTAATTAGTGTCACATACAGAGTGACTGATTTATCTTGACCACTAAATTTCTTTTAAAATATTAATAATTTAGAAAATTAATTTTTTTTTTTTTTTTTTAATATTTTAGTATTATTTACTTATTAATTTTTGAATGGTTAATTATATTTAAGTCTTCCCGTTAGCCTCCCTAGAATTAAAGTATTACTTCAAATATTATAGTAACTTATTTATTTTGATTATAAATATTTTTAATTAATATTGCCTATTTTACTTTAACTTTAAAATTGAAAAATATTTAACTCATTAGGTAATATAATATATATTGTACAGTAGGTTTGTTTGATTAGACAAAATGGTCGATTTGAGAAAAGTATTCCTGTAGTTTACTTTTTTAAGTATTATACTAGTCCCCTAAAAATTTAACCAAATATCTACAAAGGTATATTAGTTATAAACAAAAAAATTTTATATTACATACTCTTATTNTATAAACAAAAAAATTTTATATTACATACTCTTATTTATTCAGCCTTCAAATGGGGCTTTTCAAATTCAAGCATTGATCAACATCAAGCAATAAAAATGATAATTAATCATTTTCATTGAAAAAAACTAATAATAGGTGTATTAAATAGGTAATATGAATAATATGGGATTACTTCTATCATTTTCTTAATAACACAGATAACTGTTAGATACTATAGAAAAAAAAATTAAAATTTTAAAAACTTATGGCAATGTCTAAAATGTCTCTTCAAAATATCCAAAAAAAATAATTAATTTTTTTATATAATAGAAAATAATTAATGATATAAGTTTAGAATGTAATCAAGTCTGTTAAAATTAATTAAAAAAAAATACAACAAAAGTTATAACAGTTGTCAGTTAAATATGTTCCACTCTATAGACAGAAGAATTTTTTAAATCAATTGTCTTGTTTATTGTATTTGTCTTTCTAAATTCAATAACTAATTTAAATTTCTACACAGATTAAGAAAATACAAATGTAAAGACTATTTTTAGCACACAACTTATAAACTTGACAATATTCTACTACCTATTAAGTACAAAAATTTGCTACAATACTTAACAAATTTCTGAGACCAAATGAACACAATTTGTACAATTGTAAAAATATAAAATCAAAGTAATAATAAAAAAATCACAAATGTTGGAACATACGACAAAGGAATTAAGTCTTAATATTTACTCTTGACATAGAGTAATAAAATAGGTACTAAATCTATGTGTAACTTAAAGGCTTATTAAAAATTAATACAATTTTCATATATTTTTTTTTAACTTCTTCTTCTTTGACTCCATTTTTTCCTTCAACTTCACTATAATTGAGTCCAATTCATTCTAAAATAAATTTAAATACTAATTTAATAAAAAAAAAAAAAATGGTTTGAATGTTTATTACATTTAGTAGTTAGGTTTACACAAAAAATTATTTATTAAGAAGTATATGAATTTTAAAAGTGAAAATATTAAAATTCTATATAAATTATACATTTCTAGAAGAAAATTAATATGAAAGAGAAAATTAGTTTTATTCATTTATAAGGAAATACAAATTATTTACAATTGTTTTTAAATATTAACTTACCTCATCTAAAGTATACATAAATTTAAAAAATTTTAGTTGATTATGCTTTTTTGCTAAAATTTCTATTCCATGTCTTAAGCAATAATCACAGTCTTCGTGTGAATTGTGCACCTAAAAAATTTTTTTAAGCTTTTTATAAAATACATTCAATTAAATAATTGCAATTATTTACCATTGATACATAAAGAATTGAATGACAAACATCACATTCATACTCATCATTTTGCTCAGTTAACTTTGATGTAATTGACAACTGAATACGTTCTGAAGTTTTGAGTCCTAAATCTTCTAGTTGACTTCTTAGTGCTATTTCACAATCTCTCATGTTACTCAATGTATTAAGTAACTATTAAAAAAAAAAGTATACTATATAAAGAATCAACATATTTATTTTTATAGTCTATTCCTATTATATAAATACATTCATGAAAATATATTGTATATTATATTTATAATATACCACTTGAAAGAATCCAAATGTCTTATAATATAGATTATAAGACATCATCACCATACCATCCACAAAGCAATGGCCAAGCAGAAAGTGGAGTCAAAATTGTTAAATCATTTTTTAAAAACCCAGCACAAAGAGGTCGCGTCACAGTAGTAACATTGCATAGTTAGATCAAGTATAATGATATCTGACAGTAATTAAAATCAGTATTATAAAAAACGCTTCAATGTAAATCATTAGATATTGTTTAATTTTAAAAAATTGGTGGATTATTTCAAAAGCTACATAATCTGCTATTTCTTTATTTATATCCTGATTATGATAAAGTATATCGAATGAAAGAGGAATATAAATATTATTTCTCATAAAAAAATTGTATTAATCCATACACTTTTCAATAAGTTATAGCATTATAAAGTTAAAAATGTAAAAAATAAAATCGAGAATTTTTACACAAAAACATCATTTGGTAGCCATTTTCACCATGAAGACAAGTCCAAAGGTCAAATTTTTTTTTTCCATAATAAAGTACATTACATTAGCTTTAATTTAAGATATATATAAAAGTGTCAGACTTTCCAGAACACTTTCAAAAGTTAATTTTTTGTGAAAAAGTTGTCATTTTAAATCCCCCGTGGGCAGGTAAATGGTCAAAATTATAAAAATAAAATTACATTGATTTGATCATTTTTAAAAAAGTTATGACAGTTTTAAGAAAAAAAATTGCAAAAATTATCGATTTTTAAATTTGTAATTTTGTTGGAGATTTCCCCCATTTACGGGGAACGAGGGAACTTTTTTCAATTTTTGAGTGTAATTTCTTCGACTAGATACAATTTGTGATCTTTTGTCATATTATTGAAAGAAATGGTTTGGTGAGAGCTGAGAAAAAGTGGTAACAGACACAAAAAAAACACATCATAGTAAAATTAATACCTTCTCAGCTTTGTATCGAAGCTAATAAAATAATAATAATATAACAATGATCAGAAACTTACCTGCATTAGAATATTATGTGGTGTTCTAGAATCTGTTGACATATTTATAAGGAGTTTCTCAAAAGAAAAAGCTGCTGGTTCGCAGTTTCTTTGTAAATCCTAAATTAATTATGATTAGTAAGATAAGAGTACCAAATTATTAAAAATTAAATTAGTCTCAGAAAAATGTTCTTTAAATATCTCAAACCCGCAACCATGGGTTTAAAACTTATAGGCAACTCTATTTACTGATAGATTAGATCAGTACTTAGATTTACCATCTCCCTTTGAGGTCAGATTAATATCTTATTGAAGGATATTTAAAATTAAGAAATCATCTCTTTAAAAAGAGCCCTTATGGTTTCCTAAATAGACCATAAAAAGTGAGGAAAAGAGATATTAATTATAATTATTTGAAATGAATTATAAATAAATAATATTTGAATTAATTATTACCTGAAAAATTTTATCAGCATTATTCAACCACCCACTTTGTGTAAAGTAAACACTTTCTGATATAACATAACCAGTAGAAATATTACAAGTGTATGCATTTGGCATGACAATTAAAAATTGACCAGGATTTTGAATAGTCCGAGTTAAAGTTACACCATGTTCTAATAATTTAGTTGGAGGAACCATTCCACTATCAGCAGCTAACCATGAATGGTTATTTTTTCCTTCAGCAACAGCTCTAGGTAATAATGTTTTCATAGCTTGTCGAAACTTAGAATTTTCATTACACGAAACACTATACCAAATTTTATCTGCACCAGTATGTGAGTATTCGATCCAAGGTAAACCATGAGGATCTTTATACCAACAACATGCTGAAAATATCATACCCATATGGATTGTTGGTACTGTCATACCCATAACAGGACCTAATGATTTTAAAACTGATGCAGAATTATTTGTCAATACTTTCAAATTCCAAGGATGTTTGGTAAATGTTGCAGTCTTGGTAGTAGGAAAACCATAACCTTCAGTTCCTGAATCAATGGAACCTGATAGAACACATATATGATTTTTTTTTTCTTCTACTTGTTTCCAATAAAATGACTCAACATCTTCTGCTTTAATACTATGATCAGGAAGCTTTGAGTTTGTTTGAGTTTCTTTAAACCACATAGCACTAGTATTACGTGCAACTCTATAGTACGCACTAAGTGCAATGCTACGACCCTAAATAATATTTAAAATAATGATTTTTTTAATTTTACTTATTTTTTTATCTAATAAAATACTTTTGTAATGCAATCATTAATATCTTCATATATTTCATTTTCTGTATCACCTTTACGACATATTTGTTTCCATTCTTTATCAACATCGTTCATTAATTTTTGTCTTTCATCTAAAATTAAAAATTATAGAAAATTATAACAAATAAAAATTTAATAATTTAAGTCATAATTACCAGGATTCAGTGTGTCATAAGGTAACAAATACTTGCAATATATATCATCAAGCTTGGTCACACGATCTTGAGCACTTTTTGGTATTTTCATCAAATCTGCAACACGAGACCACTTATCCAATTCAATTACCTCTTTTAAGCCACCTAGTTCTTGAACTGTATGATATAATCTAGGAAGATCAAGCTCCATTCCTCCAATTAGAGGGGGATTTGATAAAATTATAGATTGTGTTTCCAAATATTTTTTAATAGCAGTCATTTCACGGACATTAGGACCCCAACGATCCATCATCTTATGAACATACTGATTGTATGCTGTGAAGCGCATATCATCACTAACTTTGCATTCAGGCTAAAAAGATAGATATTTAAAAATAATTTAAAAAAATTTTATTATTTATATCTTACCTTAAAACTGGCAGGTGGTACAACTCGACAAATACCATATTTTTGGGCGACTAATTTAATAACTTCAAAATATTCTAAAGGATCTTTAAACTCATCTTCTGTTGGGTAAAAAGTCGGAGCATCCACCATAACAGCACATTCTTCAAAAATGGTTGTCTTGTTTGAAATTTTTTCACTAACTTTTTTTTTAATAACTCGTTTTTCAATCCTTCATAAAAAAATATATATCAATATAAGAAACAGTTACTTAATAATAAATAAAAATTACTTTTTGGATTTCTTTTTATCAGCAGTTGGTATCCGTTTCAACTCTGTATTTCGTTGAGTATAAATTTTTGATTCATCACTGCAATTTGATTTGTTAAATGGAAAAATTTCTTTTGATGTTGTAGGTATGTTTTTAGTAGGTTGAACTAAACGAGTAGTAGGTTGAACAGTTCCAACAGGAGTTGTCTTATTTGAAATTTTACTAACACATAAGGGTTTTATTTTTTGTTCCGATTTTGATGATATAGAACTAAAATTATATTGTAATAATAAAATTAAAGTTAGTTACATTGAATAAATAATAATGAATAAAATTAATTAATGTAAAGAAATTCTAAAACTATTATATGAGTACCTGATTGATATTGTAGAATTAGGAGGTTTTGTTACTAATTTCGCACTCATCACCAATTTATTTTGTGGTCCTTCAGTACCAAGTTTAACTGTAACCCCTTGAATTGATGGCTGAGTTTGAACTCCAGCTGGTAAAGGTATATAAAACAAACGACCTTCTTCATTTTCAATATCTATTGAATTTGTAGAAGATTGTGATTTCCCTTCCATTAAATCAGTTTCAAAATTCACCTATAAAATAAAGAATCAATAATTTATACAAATTTTGCTAAGTAAATCTTATAACATACCGAAATAGATGTATTGGGTGATACAGTTCTTGATTTAATTGGTGACTGAGTCTTATTTCTACGGAACGGAGTACTAGAAACTGGTAAATCAGGTTGAAAAGCATAAACACTCGTTTCATTTTCAGGGGAAAAAGCATCAGAACTGTTTCCACTACAAGACTGAGCAGTTGATAGCCTTCTTTGTTGAAAAATTTTCTTCTCTGGAGTTAGATCATCTTGTGATAAAATATTTACTTCCATAGATTTTTGTTGTTTAGAAAGTCTTTTTTCAAACTTCAGATCATATTTTGTACAGGGTAAAATAGTTGTTTTAGTTAAATAATTTGAGTTTCCTTTTTTATCTGGATCAATTTTAGGTTCATTATGATTAATCAAGCTGTGTTTAGTTTCAATATTTTTTTCTTCAGCCAATGAAGAATTCAGAGTGTCATGAATTTTGTTTTCTAATATTTGTTTGTGATCAATATCATTAGTAGAACAACTGATTTCTGTTTTCTTACTTTGATTATCAATTAATTTTTTGTTAATCCAGGTGTTTCCATTTGGACTTAAACCATTTTTTGGTACTTTAACATTTTTAAAAGCCTGTCTCCAAGAAGCTAGATCTTTTTTTTCATTGGTATTTCTGGCTAAATTAACAATTTTCATAGTACGACTTTCAAAAGTTTTTTCATCCTTTTTGTCATCAGAATATTTTGTATTAATACTTTCAGATGACATAGATAACTTGGTTAATAATTGTTTGTTTGAGACGCATGGTTCATTAAACCTAGGAAGAGCACTACAAATTTCTGATAAAACTGATAAACCATCAGATTGTTTAAACTTAGGTAGTTGAAAACTTTTACTAGAAAAATACTCAGGTATATTAATTTTGACATTATCATTTATTTCTGGACCCAAAACATTTTTAACTGATTCATTTAGTATACATTCAACTTTATCTAACTCATTAACCACTAAATTTTCTCTTTTCTGTATTTTATTAATAATTTCAATTTGATCTGTTTTATTATCAATACAAATTTCTCCTTTTAATGATTGAACATCTATATTTCCTATTTTAGACTTTTTATTTGCTTCTTCAATATTAGGTGGCGATTGTTTTCTCAAAACATTTATGTTAGCTAGCTTTTTACTTTCTATATCATCATTTTCTAAATGTTTGTTTACAAAATTAGCTGCCATTTGTTCTAGGAGCTCATCTTTTGTTTGACTAGCATTATTAGTGAACATTGCAGATGATGGTATCGATTTTTTCTTATTATTATTATACAAATCTAAATTTGTTTTTTTCCCTTTTTGATCTTCTTTTTTGTGTAAATCTTTAGAAGACAAATTATTAGCTAATTCTATGGAATTATTTCTATCAGTTACTCTACTATTAAATTTATCAGTCTTATGTTTAATTGGTTTCTCTTTTCTTTTTTCATTATTTTTTTTAATATCAAGATCTTTTCCACATTTTAAAATAGCACAATCAGAAACTAAATCTTTATGATCTAAGCTACTTTCCGAATTTACTTTGTTCAAACTTTTTTTTGTCTTAATTTCAGTCTTATTCAATTTAATATTTTTTTCAGCTATTTCATTAGAATTAATTACAGATACTTTTTTTGGTTCTGCAGCTTTAGTTGTTGGTGTTGATCTAGATTTTTTGCTATTAATATCTACTTTATGGCCAGAAGTTTCATCATCTTCTGAATCAGTCATTATATAATCATCAAGTACAGTAGATGAGCGACGAGGCCTTAAATTTCTTTTACATGAGCTCTGTTTTGAACGCACCTGTGTAACTGATGGGTGTTTAGTTTTAACAATTGCACTCAACTTTGTTTCTTTTGCTTCTAAAATATAGGTATTAAAAATTTTAAGTATTATATATTTAAACAAAATAAAACAAGATCATAAAAATGTGTATAAATCTTAATAGTTAAAGAATTAACTAATAATAGTTAAATAGCTTTTACGTTAAACAAGTAAATTTATAATTTTAAATTTATATTTAAACATGAATAGTATAGATTATTTAAGTTATTATTCTTGACAATCTTACATGACTATACAGTTCTAAAATTCATATATATCATCAGCTATTAAGGCGCTAACAATGTTACAAACTCAATAAGACTTTTTTTGTTAAAAGCTATACCATTTTAAAAAAATTAGCAAACTTAATACATAAATACTATGAATATTGAAGCAAGTTCTTTATAATAGTGTCATAATAATAATAATAAATTACTGAAAATTATATTGACTATATGAATGAACTATAAGAATGATTATCATTCTTTTACATAAACAATAAAAACTTACAATTTCTGTTTTTTATCATAAATTTTATAAATATAATAAATACTTTACTTACCCTTTATTTTTATATTTGGCAGCTCAGGAAAACTTTCTATAGAAGATGAATCACCTTCTTTCTCATTAGAACATTGTATATCTTTTTTCAACATATCCATGAATATAGTTGCTGCTTCCTTAGTTCTTCTGGGAGGCCTTGAACGGACCATTCTAGACAGAAATATCATAATTATTTAAAGTTTATTTAAGTTATTATTAATTTAAATTTTCAGCTTACATATCAAAACTTCTGTTGTCATTACTAACTTTATGTTTATCAAGAATTATTTTTGTTTCAGTTATATTCCTAGATTTAAACTTAGATGATGCAGTCTTAGTGTTTTTGTCAAATATTTCTAAATTCTTGTTACAATTTTCATGGTGTTTCAAAACTAAGCTTCTGGTTTTTCTATGGTTAGAATTTGCTTTTGAATCATTTTGTTTAATATCTATCAAACTATTACTACGACATTCAACAGTTTTAGATGAACTTTTCTTCCTAGATGATCTTTCTTCAATGTCAGAATCTTTAGATGTCGTTGAAGAGGTTTTGCCCTTACACCATTTACCTTTATCATCTATAATAATTAAACTAATAAAGTAACTAATTTACATATATATATATATTAAGGTGGTTCAAAAACACAACTTCAGATATTTGATACAGATAATTTTGCAATCATTTGTGATACTTAATATATGAATTTGCTTTATTTGATGAAAGGATTCCAGTGAAAATTAAAAGAAAAATGATAGATAAACTGGCTAAAGTAAAATATGATGATCAAACAGACGATCTAAAAATATTTTCATTAAATGCAAAAGTTATTCCTTCATTTATAAACTCTGATCTACCAAAAGACTTTTGGTGAGGTAAAGAAGTATGGGTAAAACCAATTATGAACACTATTTATCTAACACAGCATTAAAGTGTTGATAATTTTTTTCTGTCATGTAAATGGTAAATAGTCATAATATTATTAATTTTATAAAATTATAAAAATTAAAAGCTATTTTTGAATTATCACAGTAATGATAGATTTTAGAAAAAATGTATTAGAATCTTTTTTAGAAACTCGGTCAAGGCTTCATTTGCTGAACGAGAGTTTAGTTACGTAATTAGTCACCATTCTTCTCTCTGACGACGGTCTAACCACCCGTTCCGGAGTATAAATGGTTAAGAAACCTTTTTCTTTGGGAGAGGCCGCTATGGCCCTTAATGGACTAATAAAACGATAAAAAAAATAAAATATATATATATATATCAAAGTTGTTCAGTATACCTCGAAGTTGGTTTATGCCAGGGCCGAATACATTTGGCAATGAATTTGATCTTGTTATACGTCCTTTAAATTTATTTTGTTTACCATCAAGAGACTGTTGCTTTTCTTTATTCTTAATATCATATTTTACTTTATGAGAACTTTGAGTTCTAAACATAAATTAAAAATAATAAATGCTTAATAAGAAATTTACTTAATAAAGAATTATACTTCTGAATTTGAGGCTTGATTTTTCTTATTTTGGTACCATGTCGAAGTGCAAGTTGACGCAAAGTTATAGCTTCTTGTCTAATAGCAAATCTTGATCCAGATCTAACCAAATTACGACCTATAACTGGGAATTATTCACAAATTTAAATAATAAAACATGTAAAATGAAATCATTAAAGTACCTTTTTGTCCAAGTTTTGATAATGGGTATTTAGTTTGAGGAATAATTTGTTTCACTTTCTTTTTTTCATTAGAACCATTGCTAACTTGATTATCAACCAAATTTTTGGTTGGCTGGGTTGAAATACTTTTTTTTCTTTTCTATAGTAATAAATAATTAGATTTATTTTTATATTTAAAACTTTTGTTATATCAATGTTTTATTATTAAGATTGCATAACAAATTTAAAATACCTAATAATAATATTATTATTATTATTATGTAATAATATCTATGAGTATTTAACAATTTTATCAAAATTTGATTTGTATTAAAACAATATATATATATATATGGCAAAATCATTTTTTTTCTAGATTTACATGATCTGGTAATGAAACAAAATTATTTCAATATTTCATTATTCTTAAAATATTTTATGAAATGATGCAGCCTGAAACCAAAGTGTTCACAGAAATATCATAATTTATGGATGGCTGCTGCCTTGTCTTGCTGAAAAAATGTCTTCATTGACTAAAACATGGGCAAATTGCAATGCAGTAATGAGGAAGTAAAGAACCCCTTAAACAAAACTTTTGGAACAAGATTAAAAGAATGTCTGTTTGTAAAAGGTTTTGCACAATTTGCAGTTACAACTACAAAAATTAATATATTTTAATGGAGGTCATTTGGCAAACAGTGTAGAAAAATATTTTTCTTTTTATTGAATATAAAATGGCAATTATTGCATTTATACTTATATTAGCTTAAATATTAACAAATTTATTTCATCAATAATAATTAAATATTGAAATCATACCATTCACTGCTGAATATTTATATTAATAAGGTAACTCGAAAAATGTCTGGAAGATCATTATAATGGTTAAAAATAAGTAGACTGTATCATTTAAGACAACCAGTCCCAAATTATCTGGTAAATATTACCCACATGACTTAAACAAAACAATGGTTATATTGACCATATTGACTTATAAAACTTAAATACTAGTTAATTAAAAAAAAAATTAAATACAAATAACTTGTAAAATTTTAATACTTTTATATGAACTTCAATGCTATTCGTATATAAAATACTAATAATTTAAATACATTTTTTTCATAACTAATTGTAAAAATCCAACATACAACAAAATTACAGTATTTAAATTTCAATAACTAAGAAAACTTAGATAAAAGTTAAATATTAAGAAAATAATGAATTAAGTAATACATTTTTTTTTTCTTAAATAGTAAAGTTTACCTTTCCTGATGCAATTTCTTGAGCTGTAAGTGAACGTTGAGGTTTGTTAAAAAAATCTAATCGTGGAGGTAATAAGCTTGTACCTAAATTTATTGATATAAATAAATAAAAAGAAATATAATGAATATTAATCATACTTTACCTCTAAAACAAAGAAATGTAAGAAAGTCTTCTGTATTTGGTCTTTTGGTAGGAGGTTTAACCACATTATTAGATACTAATGGAGATTGAACTGGTTTTTGTTGTGAGCTTATAGGTATAACTGCATTTTGGGCAAACTTGCGCTGAGCTTGAACTTTGATTCTTTATTGTTAAATGCATAGATTAATAAACAATTAAATGTTTAAGGTTTTGCACATAGACAAACTTTTGGTCTCTTTTATAGTTAATTTATTAAATGTAGTGAAATAACTTTTCTGAAATCACTTAAGACTTATATAATATTACTTATAAAACATATATCAATTTAGTTTAATCAATACAATAAAATATTATCTAGTACTAAGAAATTAACAGTAATCTCAAGTTAATTATGATTGGAAAATTTAGGATTAATAAAGTAAACTATAATAGCACTACAAAGAAATTCATAGATTTCCCAAACTACATTATTAATAAATTCTTACTTTTTTGTGTTTGATTCTATTAAAAAATCTTCTTTATTTTGTTGTTTACGTTTTCTTGTTTCTAAACCATTCAAAGATGACATTATAATGGTACACCAGCTATCACAGTCCTCATACAACGTCTACTAATAGCTCACTTTAGGTCAGCTAAACAATTAAATTCATATACATGACACAAACTATGTGATGAACACATAAGATTAAAGTTAATAGATGGTAAATTTTCAAATGAATTCAATCATAATTGTGAACATTTTTAATGAACGCTATTTCTCCTATAATTGATTATAAATATGATTTAAGTCATTAACATTACTTATAATAATTTTTAAATATTTAAACAAAAAATTATAATTATATAGAAATAAAAATTGCTTCAATCCTAAAATAAAATAACAAAAAAATTCGAACTTTTGTTTACGTTGAGAGATTAAATTTGATAGATTTAATAATAAGTACTTATCTTCACTTGTATTTAAAAAAAAGTGATAAAATATAAAAAATGTGAGTTTAAATGTAGAATGCATTCATACTTGCAATAAAACTCATTAGATGCATTGAAGAAAATTCGGGGTATATCCACCACTGTCGCGCTGCAGCAACGACAGTATAAATAATTGAGTATCATTTCAAACAACTATCTTAAAGTAATAATAAACTAAAGACAAAAAAATTAAATAAACGTATATAAAAATAACAAATTGGATAATGAATGATTCAGTGAAATTAAATAAAAATTAAATTTTGTCTCTGAAAACATAAACACAAGACATGCATTTACACATACACACACAATACACATTAAAAATAAAGGCACACACGCGCAGAGAATTTAATGATAAAAATGTTTTGTTCCTGTGTCGAACAGGCAACATGGACCAGGCGACGTTGCCGTTATATGGTGTCATCACCATCCTGTGTAAACAAACGGGATGCGTCATAGTTAGATCTAAATATGATGGACAATGTCCTGTCAGTTCAACTTGACTACTGGACAAGAAGTGCAATGAGAATATCAAAATTGTGCTACTTCAAAAATATAAAAATTAATTTTTAAAAGAAAAAAAAGTATTTAAAAATAGTATAAAATATAATAGCTTCATTATAGTAATGTTAACGAATAAAAACAAACTAGTAATAGGACCAGATATACAAATAAAAAATAGGATTTTCTCTTAAGACCCCATCAATTAATAGTATACGAAAATTTACTCACTAGGGCCTCAATAAAGCACATATTTGATGTAACATTAAATGTTTAAACCGAAAATTCATCATTAATTAATTTTTATTCGTATATTTTCTGAATGAACTTCTATTAATTTAACTATTATTCTGCCTAAGCATAAATCTCAGATAATTGCTTACAAACAATAACTATCATACTATAAAATTTTAAGTATAATTTTTGGCTTATAATTTTCATACTAACTATAGTCAGTTTAAACTTTTAGGGTCTGATGCAAGAATAATTTTAACGTCCTAATTTAAATTCTTATGTAATCGCTCAATGAAAAATATAAATTAATTTGTTTATCGTAATTTTAGAAGGTGATTACTAGTGATGAGTACTTTTCCATCACTGTCGTAGTTATCTATAAGACAACTTTAAAATTACCAAAAATAACTTTCTCGAGAAATGCCCATCATTAGTAACCACATCATAAAACTCACAAATTAGCCTTTGTTACCAATATTGATCATAGAAGTGAAAAATCAATACTTTTCAGTTTCTAAAATGATATAACATTTTTATATGTATGTATTGTATGTATAAATATGAAATATTTCAATAGTTTTCCTTCACTCTTTTATATGTTTTTGTATAATAACATATAGCCAAAAAAAGTACTTATACTTATACTTATAAATCTATTTTCTCAATTGTGACACTGGTTATAAGCCAAAATTTGATGACATAATTGTAGTCAAACGCAATGTTGGGTAAGTTACTTACTGGTTACATTTAAAAATTAACTACGTTAAGTTTCTAGTTATAAAATAATGATGTAATGAAATTGCTATTTCGTTACTTACTCAGATAAGTAACAAATTATATTAGTATATATATAAAAAGAAATGCATTACAAAATAGTTACAATCAATGGCATAATTAGAAAATAATTTCGGAGAAGGGATTACTATTTAACAATTTTTTTGATTGACCTTTTATTGCTTAACAAAATATTTTCCTCTGCATTGATTAAGACATCAATATATCAAAATGTCAACGAGTTAAAAGAAAATGTCATCAATCAATTTTTACTCTGCGTCTCTAAAAAATTAAAACACCGCTAATTGTATCGAGGGGGGGGGGTTACAACCTCTAACTATCATTTATCTGATCAAAAATGGTGTTACAATGTATATTCAAACTTAAATGACTCTTATTAGTCTATTTTTTGGATGATACATGAAATCTAATTAAACTATTTTTTTCAATTTCAAAAATGATTTAGAATACTGTCACATAATTTATTTTTAGGATTAAAGAAAGTTATTACAAAAATATTGTGGTTATAACGAAATTTTGAGCTTTTCGCATTTTTTACTATTTATAGTTATGCTAAAAACATATAAATTAAATTTTTGAAATCCTTATAAAATGTCCCAAAATCATGAAAAAATTATAATTATAGGTAAAAGCAAAATAAAAAGTTATAAAAAAAAGTTCAGCTTTAATTTTTGTAAAATGACTGTCAAAATTGAAGACCAAATATAGTGAGTTAAACTTAAGATATAGATCTCAAGTATTTGTTAAATAGAACCTATGCGAGTTTCACATAGAATTTTTCGGTTAAAATAATTTTTCTTTTTGAATAATTAATTACGTAATTAACTGATTTTCACTAGTTATTAATTTTCTAAAAAACTAGAATCAATCAGAAAATAAGGTCAGATTTGGAATATTGACAAAATTCTATTCAGAGTCTACTAAATATTATTTGACTCAAAAGTGTCTTACAGAGTAATAAGAGACGTCATTTCAGATTATACGTGACTAGGACAAACTTTGGTCCATTACTTCACAAAACCAATCACTTCGCTGTCGATTTATCCCCATATTAAAATTGTGTAATTTATCAAAAGTTGTTGAGGAAAAACAATTTTCTTATCAAATAAAATGTTAATTTCATGATAAAAATTTAGATTTTTACTATGTTTTATAGATTACATTTAAATGACCCAATATGACTCAGCTTAGTATCAGTATATGTAGACCGTTTTGAATGTGTACTGAAAATTTATATAGAGACTAATATCCCAGTTACCCATACCCAAATTGATAAGCTTAAGTGGAATCGTATATTTGTAAATAAGCATTTTATTAAATAACGTATTAATCTATGCCATTACTCAAATAATTGTAACTTAGTTAGAAATACTTTATTTGGTAAAAAGAATAACTGAATTACTAAGACATTACTTCAAAAGTTTCGTTATTACTGAACACTGTCATAACATGAAATTGCTAAAAAGACAATAACGAGTTAAACATCAATTCTTATGGTAAAAATGGTTCAAAATTATAATATTAGCGTTAAAACTGATATTTTTGAACGATTTCTCTACAAAACAAAATTTTTCTGAAAATGAAATTTTGTATTATGTAGGTGAAATTTCTTTTATTTATATTGGCTCTCCTGTAAAATTAGGAAAATAAAGTTAGCACATTTGTCATACTACAATTCCCATTAAGAATTAAATTTAATTCAAAAATGTTTTTGAATGTGATTTTGTGACTGTTATGTAATTTTTATTGCAAAACTGATGATTTGTATTGCAGTTAAGAGGTGCTAAAAAAATTAACACTATTCTGAAATTAGGATTAAATCATTAATGGTAAACAATTTTTGCATAACTTATTTTGACTCTAATTATAATTTTCAGTTTAAAATTATTCATAATTCCTTACTTATATCTTATTATAATATGCTTTATGAAAATTGTATAATAAAAATTAATTATTATTTACTTATAAGAACTAAAAGTTTGATTTAAAATTTTTCCCGGGTGTTCACAATTTAATCAATTAACTGAAATTGGTTGTATTTTTGCTGTTTAGTACCCTTAGACAGTTTTCACCATTCTTTTAAAATACAACATATAAAGATATAAGAAAAAATTGAGTAATTTTAGCTTCGATGCGAAGCGGAGAAGGTATTAATTTTACTATGATGTGTTTTTTTTTTTTTTTTTTTTTTTTTTTTTT